AATCTCATTTTAAGCTAAAAAAAATGCCCCCTATTAGTGTTGTTAAACGGCTCATTTTGAGCCGATTTTTAAAAACTGCTAACTCAACATTATAGCCAGGAAAATATTGCCTAAGCATCAAGATTTCTAAAATAGATGTTCAATCCTCTGTGGCATCTATGAGCAAAATCTTTAGGTTTACATAATATTTTTATGAATAAAATACTTAGTTGGCCGTTTTTGAAAATCAGCTCAAATTGAGCCGTTTAACAAACTTCCCCCTATACACCAACCCCACCACCCCCTCAACTCCCCCTCCCCCAATGTATAAAATATATCATTATAAACAAGAATTTGTGAGAAAAATAATAAACTAAAATTAATAATTTTAAAAAATTACAACTATAATTTAAAATTTTTATAAAAAAAATTAATTTTTTAAAAAAACCAAAATCATTTAAATAAAAATATAATATAACCCTAGGCCAACAATAAGTGGGCCTAAAGGCCTCCAATAAAATTTATGGGGTAAAAGCTCACTTAATTGCTTCCCCCTCCCCCACCCTTTAGAAAAATATTGGCTACGCCTATGCCCAAAATGAAAAAAATTGTTTATATTATTTGGTTTAAATTCAAAGAAATTCCCATTTGGACCATAGCTTAATTTGAGATAATGTTGACCTGACATTGAATATTATCCCTCCAAATATATAACCTGAATGTGAAAGGTTTTTTTTTAGTAAGAGGAAACTAAAAATTTTTTTTTATCAGATCGCTCTGAATAAGGCATAAATGTCTTCAATATGGAAGTTTTGACCAATTTATAGAGATATTAGAGGGTAGCCAGGCTGGGACCTTGCCCAAATAAGGCACTTTTCCCCTGTAGATTTATCTGCCGATCTGGATGTCTGTAGCATGAGTCATACAGAGACACTTATAAAACGAACAAAATAATAATGAACTAATCTCAAATTTATATTAATTTGATAAATTAAAAACCTGAACTTTTCTTGTAATTTTTCCATATTCGTTTCCGCATTAAATACAAGGTGAAGCTTATCATTAAGATAATTAAAATGAACCCCACTAATATATAAATCCACAGTTTGCTGTCAACTATAGCCCTTTTGGGGTCGTGTATGGTGTATTCTGTAGTGTTACTCCCTGGAGACGGTGAAACCCCAACTGTAGAAGATAAATTTGTTCTAGGATAATGCGTTGTTTTGTTGATAGGTGGATTTTCGGTCAAGGAAAAATTTTTCGGGAGCGCAATTTTTGATGCAGGAATATAGGCATCAAGGTCTTTTTCCGGTGTTGTATTAATAAATGTATTATCTTCTAGGGGTGTCTCAGTTATATTAGGGGACAGTTCTTTGTGAGTCGCATTGCCTAATATCTTGTCAAATTGCGTAGTCTGGTCATAGGTTGTAACATTTCTATGAGTGCCAGTTTTAACCATATCATCATGAATGCCAATTGAATACATTTGAGTGCCAGTTTTACCCATACCGCGAATACCAGTGGTTGGAGCCATGCCATCAGGGCCAGCTTTAACTATGTCATCAGTGCCAGTTGTAACCATGTTATATGTGCCATTTTCGGGGGCTAATTTGGGAGTTTGGGTGTCCAACAACTTAGCCTCATTTGTCACATGAACAGTTCCTGTAACTAATCTAGACAGATTAGTACTTAATGCACCAGGAGTTAAATCAGTTAAATCATTGTTAGCCATTGAAACTAAAATCCGGGCAATATAATTATAATGTGTCTGTAAATAGTAATTGACTCAATTAGTTCATAATATCTTCATAAAATCATGTTAATGCTGCCCTACTAACTCCTCGCGTTGACTAATAATTATTTAATTTATTAAAGCATAAATAAAAAGTATATAGTTTCACGTGCATTAAAATATAACTTATACTTCTCATTGTTTCAACTTTTAACAATCATTATCGCATATAGTTTAATATAGTTTTTTTTTTTTTAAAAAATTATAATTTTTCAAAGATTCAATTTCAACAAATTTATTATATTGATGGATAGCCTATTAATCCTCACAGTTTTACGGTATTCAGCATAATTTTATTTTTACCATCTAAAAAAAATAAATAATGTTTCTCCATTTTATTTTCACATTAAAATTTTTTTTATTCAGTTTAATTATAAAAATTAAAGTTAAAATACAAACGAATTTTAAAATTCTTGTGATTATAAAAAAAATATTTACATGATTGATATCTAAATAAGATTGCCGAATTGTTTATATAGAGAAAAAATTTCTAAAAAATATAATACTTAACCTATGACATTTGTGTGAAACAAAAGATATTTGTATTATATGGATAAATGTATTTTTAATATTGATTTATCGAGCCGAGTCGGGTTGGGTCTCTGCCGACACATCTCATAGTCCAACCCGAGTCCGAGGAAAATATTTTTTCAATTTCAGAACCTGAAGGGTGGGGTTGGGAGTTAGACACCCGTGCAGACCAGCTTAGATTAAATAATAGAAAATCTAGAATAAAAATAAATGGAGCGGAAAGCGCTTAAAACGCGTTATAAGATTACACCTATTGTCACTGTTAGAAGATGACAATACCGCATCTAAAAATCTTAATATATTTAGGTGTCTCTTAACCCTCATGATCCCGGATAGATCTGATTAGAGATCTGCAATCGGCGGGTTAAGCCCGCCCACTCGTTGATTTAAATTTTTTTTAACCCCACCAAATAGCCCATCTATGATTTTTCGAAATTTAACTGCCTGCCCATTCATCTAAAAATTTTGTTTGATCCACCTGACCAATGTTTAAAAATGATTTGAATGGCTAGTTTGGCTCTTTATTTATTTATCTTATGTTTAATCCTAATATTATATTTGTCATTTCTTTCATAATATTAAATTTGTAAATTTAATAGATTATAATATTATTTGCAATAATTTTTTAAAAGGCATAGGTATTATGCTATCAATTCCATCATTAATAGAATCTTGAAATCATAAATATTCCTTTTACGCAAGAACTGTCGGTCTCAGCCCTGACAATCCATTATTAATCCTAATTTATTATCAAACACCTTAGCAAATTCTTTATATAGTTTTTCAATATTCGCGTTACCATTATTATTATTTTTATTGCTGATCATATTGACTTTTAACTTTGTTGGTGACGATAGATAAAATTCTAGTCTATGGAAATTCAAATAGCGCTGCAGCATTTGTTTTGAAACTAATAGTGGAATCCATTTTATTTTATCACTTTTGTAACAGAATTTTAGGAAAAAGTTATGTGCTAACTAATAATTATAGTTATAAACATCCGGTTTTCGCAAATATATAGTGCTTAATTAGTAAATTAAAATTCCTAATTAGTTAACCGCCATATGATTGCTATATACTAAAGAAATGTTTGGAAGTCAAATTTTGGTCAGAAAATTATGAAAGCACTAACGAGGAAATTTATATCATTCTTTATGGCTTCCATAATAGAGGTTAGGGCATTAATCAGTAGTCAAATTTAAGAATAAACTGCGAAAAAAACAAAAATAAACAAATAATGGCGACGTACCAAAAACAAATACTATAAAAGCATTAAACATTTTGTTTTCGCCAATATTTAGTGCTCAATTAACATATTTAAATTCCGTTACTAATTTAGTTAACTCCCTATAAAAAAAGTTATAATCTAAATAAAAATTACGACGCCATGACTTAGGCGTGAAGTTGGCCGAACGATTGGAAACACTAACATGAAGCTTATATCATTCAGTGCTTCGATAGTAGAGGTTAGTTCTTCAATCACCTTTGTACCCGTGAATAAAAAGTTATTAACAAAATAAACAAAAAATATATCAGATACAAACATTTTATTTTCACCTTTATTTAGTGCTTAATTTATTAGTAAAATTTAAATTCCATAATTAGTTTGGTTAAAAATCCTATAAAAAGTCACAAGTAATTAAAAAATGTATATTGTCCTTTTGCACTTAGCCTATCAAATGTTCCGAAGGCCATCTACCATAGAGTAATAAAATTTTCAAATATTATATATTAAGGTGCCCAAAATACATCAATGAACAGCTATAACATAGTCACAAAAGATTATTTACACTACTGCATAAATGGGTCCATTGAACCTATTCTTTATAAGTGTATTATTTATATAATTTTTATTATTTTATTGTAACAACTTCTTTTTTCTCCAACATCCATTATTCTGAGGTGTCATTGAATGATATAAGTAAAAAAATATTCTATGAATTTTTTATTCTAATTTAAATTGTTTATTTTACATAGTTTTATTTTATTGAAAAAATTATGCATATAAATATTTCTATCATAAATTTTAGTTACATTTTGATCTCATTATTATCAATATAATTATGCAGGAATTCAGATAGTTACCCTGACTCAATAAAGTAGTGCCATATGAATCCTTCAGATTTTCTGACACCTCTCTAGACGCTTAAGAAAATTTTAGACACATTAAATTTAATATTATGTTTTTATAGATAGATATGAACAATTATATCCAAACTCCTGTCTAGAAATAGTCAAAACTAAAAAAGTTATTGATAAAAATACAAGTTCAACTCCATTTGGTGGTCGAAAATATAATTCTCAAGCGCGATCTCTTTTTATTCGAAAACTGTTACTCGATAATATATAGATTGTAGAATAAATTGATAAGCGATATATTGATATTGGTTTTTAAAACAAATACTCTTATCTAACATTGATAGTTGATAAATCAATCCAATGATATTATATTGGTTTAAAAAGTAATACCAATATTATTCAAATATAATAAATATACAAAGGACAATTAAAAAGATAAGATAAATTATTTTACCTTAAATATTAACACTAGAAATTTTATTTTTAAATATATATATACTAATTAATTTAAAAAATTTTCCATTATTACTATTTAGAATATTATATTTGAAGTAAAACACAACTTATATTCCGATTCCAAAGATCAAGAAGACCCCACTTGCGCCATTTTAAAAAAAAAATAATGACGTTTATTTTTAATTACAATCGAGATTTTACAATAGTGACAAATATTTTATGACTAGCGATTATTCGAACTTATACAATGCTCAAAATTGAATTTATCACATTTTCCATTTTGTAAAAAAATTTATTTTTTTTAAAAAAAAATGTGAAAGTTTAAAAATTATAATTAATATTTAAGGAATCCAACGCATTTTTCACCCACTGAGGAATGTTTTGAATTTTGGTAAAATATGTTCGTAAAAATTTGTTGATATACAATTCGAATTTGTCTTCCATTATACTGCCCCTAATTTCTTTCATCAAGTTAGCCTTTTTTTTAAATTAAGAAGAAAAAAAATTTAGTGAAGGATATATAGAAAATATTTAAAAATTCACTAAGTGAAAAAAATATTTGGAAAGCTAAGATGATAAAAAATAATAATTTTAAAAGCAATAAAAATAAATAAAACAAATGCTAAAATTGCCTGTCAAGTTATATTAATTTATAACCATTATTAATTTATAAGTCTAAAATAATTGTATACCAACCTGGTAATATAAATTGTGGATGGATACCAAATGGCAAGCGTTAGGAGTTTGGCACATGATTCGATTTAAATACGATTTACTGTAATTTGAGCAAGTGAAACATTGGCAATCGATATCGATTGGGCTTAGGTCATCAGCGAATTGCGAATTTTTAAGGTTGATATATCCGGTAGGGACTAAGGCTCGACCGAACCGCTTTACACAAATTGAAAAGAATTAATTTTTATAAATTTCTCAAAACTTTGAAAATATATTGGTTGAGCTTAGAGCGTCTTTTTTATGATATTATTAAATAAAGAGGGGTGTATTTATTTATAAATATACCGCAGTTCTTGTAGGAAACACGCAATCAAACATATCCACACCTAATGCAACACATATCAATATATCTAGGGCATAGCTGTGAATTCCATATTTTAAAAAAATAAAAATGTGTAAGGATTTTAAGTAAATTCTATGTTCGACCCACAGTTTTAAATTTTTAAAAACTTAAATCATAGAGTGAGTTTTGAATTTTAAAAAGTTAATTTGTTGTTGGAAACGTTTTTCATAATATATAGGTTTATCCTAGCTGTGAATTACAGGCAATTTTGCCGAAACCACTCATCAGGGTTGATAGTCTAAAATGCTGGAGGCAGTGACATATAATACTTACCTAGACTGACAGTTTATTCATTAGAATGCATTTTGAACTGTTATTGAATACAAATAAGCTGATGATACATCATTTTGATTTCCGAAATAATATTTTTTTAAATATTATAAATGAAACTTGAATTTAAAAAAAAAGGATTTATGTTCGGTTTTTCCAGTGTAAAAATTGATTTGAATTTCAATGGAATAACAAGATTAAGTTATTAATTATTTATTTAATTATATATGTTTTAGATGGTCTACACGACAACAAGGCTTTAAATTTATTCATAAAGCTAATATCAACACCATCAAAATTTTACTTATTTAATATAGACATTTAAAATTAAAATCAGCTCTTCCCCATCCCATAAAGCAATTAAATATATGCGCAATTCTCGTATAGGCTTTTGCCTTGCCTAACTCTTTTTATCTTAGCCCATGGAAGTTTAAATACCAGTCCTAGGATTGTTGTGAGTACAAGTAAGTGCAGTTTACCCACAAACCTGTAGAGGGCTCCTCATTTTTATTTTTTTCCCCAACTTAATTTATTCCAGTTAGATTGGGATGAGGAATACCTAGCGTAACTCTGTTGAACTTTCAACGATAGAGGGCAGAAGCGTTATAAAACACGTATCACGTAATTTCTTGAAAAAAGAAGTTTAAGCAGTATTTAAATATAAATTGTTTATATAGGACAAAATGGCGTGCCACCAGCTAATTTGCATAGGAAGATATTTTAATGAAAGAATCATCAGTCTAGGTATTATTATTATCATTCGCTGGAATACGATTTCAGGAAAATCAAGTTTTTCAAAAATTAATAAATCCCGTGGTATACATATTATAAAAAAAATGCTAAAAAATTCGGTTAAGGAAGTATAACCATGAATTGGTAAAGCCCCTATGACTATATGTTGAGTATACTTCTTTCTTTTTAAATTCCTTTTTGAGAATTATACATAATTAATCATATTATTACCCCACGCCCATTGAGTAACGCGGTTTATCGAACGGTAATAAGTCGGTACATTTATCGACTATTCTCCAAAAATGATCCTTTTCCTCTCCGCCGCTGAGACCACCTATAGCATAACCAGGAACGTTTCGCGCAACCATTTCTTGATAATATATATATTTTTTTAAAATAATTAATGTAAAAATCTATTTTAAAAAAATCATGGTCAAATAAATGAGAATCTTGGTATAATAATAATAATAGCGATAAGAGGTGGGCGCAGCCCGGTCCATATAAGGGCCATTCCAATTTTAAAAGAAATAGTGACCAAAATATATATATATATTTTGAAAATTTTCTATAATTCAGTATAAATAATATTCGTAAATATTTTTATAACCGCTATTTTTATATTATCGAATGGGCCAACGATATTTGGCCGATGACAAATGAATGTTCAGAATTGATAAAAAAATTTTAAATAACGATATATAACTGAACTATAAACATATTAAATCTTTGAACTTTTGATATCTTTATTATTTATTCATGGATCGATGGGTGATAGAGAGAATGACATGAAAATATGGGTCTCATTAAGTAGAGGGGGGGGGGCTTTATTCTGGAAAAATTTGGCAAAGAAAGTCAAATCAATGTCAGTAATGGTCCATTTATTAAAAGTGTTCATATATTGGTCGATATAGTCAATGTCATTGGCGAGCATTTAGTCTAAACGCCCTCCGAATCTAAAGGGAAATCAGGTACGTCGATGTATTAATTATATTTTCTTATTCTAACCTTTTTTTTAGTTTGATTTTAATTTCGAAATTCGAACCCAAATCAAACTTATCCTCCCATAAATTTTTGTTAATAAAATTTTTATGATCAATTTAAAATAATCAATTTTCCCCTTTATATTATAATGTAGAAGTGGGCGCGGGCCGTGAAACGCGTGACCCATCATGTCACTGTGAGTCACGGCGTGAGTATGAATCATTTTAAATTATTAAGCGTGACTGGGCGTGACGGGCCTTCCCAAAATTTTCTCCGGGCGTGATCAGGCGTGAACATAAATTTCCCGTGAATCACGGAAATTTTAATTTTTAAAATTGTTTTTTTTTATAAATATAAATTTGAAATTTTATAATTATTTACATATTTTCTTACTTAATTTAGTTCTTTTTTTAAAAAAGAATAATTTAATATATGAAAACCAAAAATCTTCAGCATTTCTTAAAATCATATACTGAAATACAGGTATACTTGTTTAGCAAGCTTTATTTTCGGATGAGAATCTGCTCTCAGATTATCCGAGCATTCTTTAAATATTTATAAAAATTTATTTAAATCGCGTATGATGCTGATATTAATTGTGGCTAATCTATTTAATTCTTGCTTGCTAAACAAATACACCTGTATTTCAGTATATGATTTTAAGAAACTTTGTATCATGTATACAGAGTTCCATCTCGTTATTACACCTTGTTTAAGGGTGTGGCTTAGTTTGCTATTAGCTGTAGATTGTTTGAAATATTGTACTATTTTTTTACACCATTTATCTTTAAGGCTATTTCAATAAAACAATTGTCAAAAATAAAATGCGTAATATTATTTAGTATATGGCATATATATGCGATCGTTTCGTCATCTTTGAATGCACTTATAAGATTTGCTCCGTTATTTGTCACACAACTATACATTTATTTAAATAATTTTCTACTTCTGTGTATTCTAAAATTAAATTGTCTACACTTTTAATATTAAAGCCTGTTTTCACTTCCCTTGTGGTCAAAAAAAATGTTTTTATTCAAAATCCTTAATGATAATATGTCCTGTAATGGTTAAAAAACTTCGATTTTTATAGTCATCCGTCCAAATATCAGCGGTTATGGACAAGTAATTAATATTTATCATGCTTTTAATCTTAATTTTTATTTCATGGTATATTTTTGGACCTATAGTATTCATGAGAGTTTTTCGTTTCACAATTTTTATATTTTGTTATCCATATGTAATATCAACATTTATCTTTTGGCCTAGCTTTAAAATCCTTCACTTTCTGTTGCATTTAAAGATTTAAGATCTTTACAAATAAAATATAACTGACTTCTCTATAAAAGGTTTAAACAAAATTTAGCATAAAGTTTCGAGATAAAAAACATCTAAACATAAAAAGAAAATAGAACTAACGAAATGATACCGGATTTTGTTAATAAAATGCGGAAGATTTTTAGTTTTCATAAATTAAATTTTTCTTTTTTAAAAAAAGAACTAAATTAAATAAGAAAATATATAATATAATTATAAAATTTCAAATTTATATTTATAAAAAAAACAATTTTAAAAATTAAAATTTCCGTGATTCACGGGAAATTTATGTTCACGCCTGATCACGCCCGGGAAAATTTTTGGAAAGACCGGTCACGCCCAGTCACGCCTAATAATTTAAAATGTATTCACACTCATGCCGTTACCCACCGTGAACGATGGGTCACGCGTAATTTCACGGCCCGCGCCCACCTCTATTTCATGTATCAAAATATGGAAGAAAAAATGATCACCAAGGAGATAATAAAAGTTTTCAAAAAAAAACTCCAGTCAAATGAAATCATTTAAAAATAATAATTCATGTCTAGATTCATAAATCTAAATATATGGCAAGATAAAAAGATTTATGGATTTTTTGAATTAAATTCATATTCGCAAATTATATCTTAATCTGCAATTTATTGATATCATAGATAGTATTTTAAAAATATATAAGGAATAGAGGAATAGATTCCTGCCGGTCCTGTCTGAAAAATTAATCTTAATAACGACTAATCAGTTAGAAAATCATATAATAAATAATTAACATTCATCTGTTTGTCATATATTCCAAGAGAGAAAGAAAGAAATTTTTTTAAAAAAGTGAAGTATGATTAAATGTTAAACATCATTAATTGAAATCAAAATTTATTACAAAAATCTTGGTACAGTCTAGGTTTTTATGTTTCAGTTTCACCAGATTTTTATAACAAAACTATTTTAGAGCATAGGTCTGAAGATATCTGCTTTTTGATACATTATTTTATTATTATTTATTTCTAAATTATTGCTTTTCTTTTCTTATAGCATATATTATTCAATCATATTACATATCTTTTATTATAAGTAAATTAGAGATCCGTAATAATATGGATATTTATCAGACTTGAATCCCAATATCTGGCAAGAATGTGTTAAATTTTTTATTGTTAGCTATTATATTTGCTATTTTCAAATTTTGTTCTAAACACTTCACTTTTATTTATTTTTCAACATAATCTCAGTTTCAAAAAAAAAATTAAAACCCTCCATCCTAGTAAAATGAGTCTAACTACCCTACAATTTATAACATATTTTTCATTTTCATTTTCTTTAATCTTTAATAGCACGTTGGTCATAGACCTGCCCAAATGTGAGCGTACGTGAATTATATGAAGGCCCATCCTTCATATAATTATGCCGATTTTTTTATTCAAGAATACCAACAAACCTTGTAATCCAGAAGTAAAAGTAAATTTTTTTATTAATGTTACCAAAATAAATATTAACCTTTGCAACAAATTTCTCTTAAATTTTCATCCAAGCCTCCTTGTATAATAGCAAACAAATTTTGATAATTTACATTTTCATGTGATTTGAGACAACGATCTAACCATCTTATAGACCTAAAAAAATAAGTTTATTAGAATTATCACCTAATAACTTTATATACCTCCCCATGGCTTCCTCAACCCTTGGACCCGTTGATATACTAGGAATGACATCATCTAATTGCATAATTATATCTGCTCCCAGAGCATTTTGAATTTTCATTGATTGTTCAGGTGATAAGAAAGATTTTCTATTTAAAAATATGTTATTATTATTAAATATAAATAACTCAGAAGTAAATGGATCTAGAAATTCAACTCCTTCTTCTGTGACTTCTGCTAATTTTGAAAGAGATACCATTTGAAAACCACCACTGTCCTTTCAAAGATATTAATAGATAACATTCTATTTAAATAATTCAACTGTTAAATATGAATGTTTCCAGTTACTAAATTTGTGCAGACCACCACTTTTTTCAACAATTTCATGACCCTACATATAAATAATCTTTATAATAATGTTTTCTTAATTACTGGTCTTAAAGAAAGATGATAAGTATTACCCAATATCAATTTATAACCCATTGCATCAATTTGTTCTGGTAATATGCCTTTTATAGTTCCATGCGTACCTACAGGCATAAATGCAGGTAGATCTACATTTGAATGCGGCAATGTTAATATAGATACCCTAGCTTTCGTTTTGGAGCATTTCGCTAAAATATTAAGTTTTAAAGCCATCTGTGAATTAACCTAACATTTAATGGTAAAATATTTAGCAATAGTCTTACCAACAAATAAGAGGAAAACAACTATAATAGTCAAATTTTAATAATTTTCTTTTATACTCGTAATATACACCCCTATTATAATTATTTAATATAGAACAGCCTAATTGATGTTTGTATCTTTTTTGGGATAAGACAAGCTAAATTTTTTATTATTACTGAGTTTATTATAAACAAAATTCTCTTATTAGCTTATAAAATCTAAGGGCAAGCACATGTTTGATGTTCCATGTAAAGGGAGATGTAGTAATACAACTACTAATTTATAAACAATACGGCTACTAATTTATATTTCAATTTATTTCAAACATCAAATTTTATATTAATTAATTTTCGAATATTTTATTCTATTTTTATATATAATATCTATAAATAATATTTTATTAATTTATTACAGGAGAGATCTTAAAATTTTCTATTAATGGCTTATGAAAAAAATGGCCCTAAATAGACCTGTGTGCCGATAGCCTTATCGCGGCTGTTCCCTTTTTTAAAAGATCGGCTGGCGGTAGGAAAGCGGAGTCAAATATTTTTCTAACTTACATTTTTAATAAAAATTATAAATTCATTAGAAATACCTTTTTAAAAGAATTTATTCTTTATTATATTTACAACTATAATTAAACGATTTTATTAAATTTTAAATATCATTTATAAATTAAATATTATTTTATTTAGATTTAAGGGACATAATGATAATCTTTTAGAGTTCAGAGGTCCAGCTATGGAAATTACACGCCCGTTGGGTATGCTCATAGCTGGAACACACAGGACCTTTCTAGCCAATATTGAATTAGGAAGATTCGATGGTCTTATCTTCCAAAAATCTAAGATATCATTTATGTCTATATTAATTGCATTAATTGTTAAGGCTGGCAGGGAGAAGAACAAAATGAAAGTAATTTTAAAATTTTTATTTAATAAATATATTTTAAAAATATTTAACCAAAAATACAATACATTTATTCTTTATATATAAAAAAAATCTATTAAATAATTTAAATGAAACTATTAAGTGGTTAATATCAATTGTGTTAATTAAATGAATGCGATATATAAAAATTTCCTCTATATAACAACCAATATAATAAATTAATTATCCATGTTTAACATTCCACCCTCTAAAGAACCCGCCTAGGTTCTCTTTAGACGTAAATCTTTTGTGTTCAAGGAGTTTAACATCTATTTTGATCATAAAATCTGTAATTTTGTCTTGGAAAATGATAGTTATTTTGGTTGTTAAATCTTTGGTTGTCATAATATGGTCGAGTCTGCCATGGTTGTCTAACTGATGTTTGCAATTATTAACATAATGTCTATTGCTCTCAGTATATGTCATCATCTGGTATTGTTATATCTAGTATTAGTTGATTTTTGTTCGTAAACTTTCTTATCTTTTCTTACTCCCTCCAAATCTTTGAAAAACGGTTTAGTTGGTCATATAATTTGACTTTGTCATCCTTCTGTTAATTATTATCATTGTTTGTTATTAAATATATATGCGAAGATTTTGAATGATTTTAGAATATAGGTATTATTGAACAACGTCATAATAAAATAAGAATCGTCCAGTAATCGAAATAGAATTAATTTAACGAATATCGAATTTGATTAAAAATAATTGAATAAATTTATCAAATATTGAATAATTGAAATAAAATAAATAAGTCGCGTTTTATTTTTATATTATTTACATTGCGATTTAAATAATAGCGTTTTACGTTTCTCAATTTCGCTTTTATAAATAGAATGTATTATTTTATATTTATATTTTTAATACAACGTTTTTTAAAAATAAAAATTTGATTAAAAATAATTGAATAAATTTATCAAATATTGAATAATTGAAATAAAATAAATAAGTCGCGTTTTATTTTTATATTATTTACATTGCGATTTAAATAATAGCGTTTTACGTTTCTCAATTTCGCTTTTATAAATAGAATGTATTATTTTATATTTATATTTTTAATACAACGTTTTTTAAAAATAAAAATTTGATTAAAAATAATTGAATAAATTTATCAAATATTGAATAATTGAAATAAAATAAATAAGTCGCGTTTTATTTTTATATTATTTACATTGCGTTTTAAATAATAGCGTTTTACGTTTCTCAATTTCTTTTATAAATAGAATGTATTATTTTATATTTATATTTTTAATACAACGTTTTTTAAAAATAAAATGATTTATTACAGTCACAATACTCTTTTAAAATTTCACCATGTGATCTTATGGGTATATTTATATTTTCATCATTTTTATCTTTAGATACTAAAATTATTTCAAACGATATTATGTCAACAAAACTTTCTTTTAATTTATAAGTATTAATTATATGTTTATCAATATTTTTATTTATAAGATTTATATCATTACTTTTATAAAAATAATTTTAGCCTTTTCAGCAAAACATCTGGAGATTCAAACTCCTCATCTGTCGATATGGCCTTAACTAAGTTAAAGATGTTATCAGGTAAATTAATAGTTAATAGCATAGCCTCACATCTACTGTTGAACTTACTATCTTTAAAAAAATTCTCAACCTTAGCAATATAAGATTGCATGTCTCCGCTATACTCCGGAAAAGATAATATCATCATATTTATGTGTTTATTTTTTTATAATATCTTTATTTTATAAATATTTTAGAGATTTTATAATTAAAAATTTTAATTATTTTTTACTTTTTCAAATTAATCATTTCTTACGTGTTTTTAAAATGAAATAAATATAACTTTCCAGAACTTTTTTTTATCTAGTTGACTATGTTCCAGTAGCTAAAATCATATTGTCTGTGGATTTAGAATATTTTGTAAGTCATCATAGCCTAAATTTAATTAGTTCGTCTAGTTTTATATCTATTTTAACAATTTTCCTGCCATTGTTGATTTATTCATTTAATCATCATTTGGCACGATTCCAGTGTCATAATCTAAATTATATTTTGCAGAAAAAAAATTTAAAAGATTTTAAAATTATAAGTTCTGCTGCCACCATGTTAAGGTTGGCAAGGAGAAGAACAAAATTAAGAAAGTAATTTAAAAACTTTTATTTAATAAATATATTTTAAAAATATTTAACCAAAAATACAATAAATTTATTCTTTATTATTTAAATAATCTATTAAATAATTTAAATGAAACTATTAAGTGAAGTTAATATCAATTGTGTTAATTAAATGAATGCGATATATAAAAATATGCGCTATATAACAACCAGTATTATAAAATAATTATCCATGTTTAACAAAAGAAAATAATAAATACCACTTATTTTACACAAGTTAAATAGTCTTATTATTCTAATAAATGTTTAGTATACAATTTCTTAAAATAATCGAATTTTGAAGCAACTTCTGTTGTTTCACATTCTGTTAGTTAAAGAGGTAGCGTGTTCATATATAAAAATTACATAGGAAAAATTTTTTTTTTCCTTTATATATTCATTTACTTTGTTTTAAATTGAAAAAGAGGATCTAAATGCTTCTAACATCTAAGAAGAAGAAACAAAGCAAAGAGAAGTAATATTAAATAAACTATTTTATGTATTTTAAAATATTACTTAAAGATTGGCTATTAGACAGATCAAATTTATTAAGCATATTTTGTTTAAGGGATACTATGGGTGGTGTTGTTCAAAAGCCCGATTTGGGTCAATTTTTAAAAACACGATAAATAGAATTTTAGCCGAAATAATATTGTGTAAGCCTCAAATTTTGTAAGTAGAAGCCCAAACCTTTCTGCCATCTGAGCAATATCATCAGGCTTAGCCGTTATTAATAATTGTCCCAAATGGTCTTTTAACTTTAAAAAATCTTAAAAAGTTCAAAAATAACGATTATGACAATTATCACTTTTCCATAGTACACTTTCACTGAAATATTAATTTAATATGTATAATATTATTTTACAAATAAATGATTTTTATTTCACTGCGAAATAATATGGATATATTTATAGTACATCCTTTTTTGACGGATAAAAATTCAATATTTTGATGGTTTTACTCTTGAACCCCAATATAACTTATAACTAAAACAGATTACAGATTTTAATAACCTTATTAAAACTTATCTAAATAAATCTTTTCAGGATTAACGAAGGAATATGAATAATTAAAATAATAAAATATGTAATAATATTTTAATACCTTTTCTGTAAATTATTAACCTAACATATCATCTTGTTACAAATTAAGAGTTATTATATAATATTTTTTAATTTAAAAAAATAAAATCGTATTTTTTAATTATTTAGAATATATTTAATCATCAGCGGCGGCGTGTTGAGCGCAGACACATTTTTAAAACAGCCTTCGGTATGGTCAAAAATATTTGACCGCGACACATAGGTCTAACCTTAAATAAAATTGTAGCCCCTCCCCTGAACTCAAAACAAACTTCTTGGCTATGAATATATTCGTATTGGATAATAAAAAAAAATCCCGAAATAGATTTAAGCCTAAAACTTAAATTAAAAGATACTTATAAAATCTTAATTAACTTAAACTATAATCATAATAATTTTGTTTATTATATTTGTATTAATTATATAAATGTTAACAAATTGTTGCGCCACTAATTGAAGCAGTTACAGACACTAAATTATGTTGTTCATCAAGAAACCGTAAATTCACAAAGAGTTTTATTGAGGAAATTTAACATTAAAAGTTTGTAGGAAATGTAATAAATTTGTATTTGTCATCGACTTGGATGTAACATTGTTCAACCACATACATGCATCAAATATAAAATATTAGTTGACTCCAAAGGGAGACATGGTCTAAATTGTATATATAGTCAAGGCATGCATGCAAGTAATGCAGTAAAATAATTTAGTTATTAGTCGTCTCTTACCAGGGCCCGAATACCAAACACCCTGGAGCCTACAATTTTCATTAGATGATGGCTTAAGACCAGATGGCTTAACTTCCGTGCCTTGGTCTTTAGGGAAATCCTTAATTTGTGACTTCACATGCGTATCTTCTTTTCCAAAAAATTTAAATTCTAATCCGGTTGATATAGCCGAGAAAAAAAAACAATGAAATATTCTAAATTCACAAATTATATTTTTATACCGACCGTTATCTCTTCCCTTAGACATATGCCAAGCGGAACTTTAAAATTCTTAAGAAATATAGGCGATAAGATAAGAGCCCTTACATCAGAACCAAAAGAATACTATTTTTAAAAACAAAATCTACAAATAACTATTTTAAAATATAACTATTCATGTTTTTTGGAAACTTGTAGTCCCACCTCCGTTTTTATAAAATAATGTTTTATTTTATTTTATATTTAATATGTTAATTTTAATATTATTTTATTTGATAGTAGTAATAAAAGGAATATTTGATGTTAAAAAAAATGATCTATAGAAAAAATTCAACATACTAATTAATTAATTAATTAATGTGATGTGATAAATTAAAATATAATAAAACGATATAGTTTAATCCCTGGTAGTGTTCTAAATGGTTAAATTATTGGTCGTATGAATGATCTTTGGCGTCGTTATGCAGCAATAAGCATTCGCACAGCAGCATTTAAACACATGGCTCTATCTTTATACGAATATTTAAAAACCATATATCATAATGATTTGATACACGCATTGGAATCAGTTATATGCTAAATTTCAATATTTAAATTTTTATTAGATAACAGGAGTAAAAGATTTGATTATTGAAGATAAATTAATGAAACCATTAGATTTAATTTCATCAATAAACGTTTTGAAGAATCACGGAGTTGGCAAAATATATCGTTTAAAGGCCTCGATAATCAATTTAAATTCTGATTCGTAAATAGTTTAAGTTTTAAATTGATAATTTATTGAAGATAGATGTGTATTTGTGGTTAAGCCCTCAAATTATGGAAATAATTTAGTAATTAAACACTTAAAAAATATTTCAAAGGATCACCAATATAAAAAATTCTCCATTATTTATATCCCTGGAATAGTAATTTTATATCATAATTTGTATATATAGACTTGTTTAAGGATTATACAAGTGAGTTATACATGGAAAATGAAGGAATATGGGAGCTATTTTCACACATTTTACAATTCCCCTATTACTTAGTACCTATTGATAAAGATTTATTTTCAATGGAAAATGATTTTTTTTATAAAGATGTCTTTATTGTAAATATCATTTTTTATTAACACCCATTTTTTAGTTATTTATTAGGAGATGGATGATTCCTATAATATTAACATAGTAAAAGCCTTAAACAATATTCAACAAAGTTTTTATTGTTTTCAAGAAATTCATGTATTTGGAAAGGTGTCTCAGGTAAAACTATTCTGTATATATAAATTTTTGCAATTATTTAAATTTAATAAAATTTGAAATATTATTTATAAGAGGATACTATATAATTTAATTCATAAATTTATTAAAGCAATGGAATTTCAACATTATTGAAGTAAAAACCAATGATAGATAAAATAGAACTAATAACTTTATTTATATTCTAAATTATAATCCATAAGCGTTTTTATAGGAGGGGGGGGGATTAAAATCCCCCTACCCACACTTAGTGCTGCTAAATGGCTTGATTCGAGCTTATTTTTAAAAATGGTGAACTCAATATTTTAGTCAGAAAAATATTGCTTAAGCCTCAAGATCTCGCTAATAGATGCCCAAACCTTTGAGTCACCTATGAGCAAAATTTTTAGACTTGCCTGAATAAAACATTGAGGCTATTTAAAAAAATCAGCTCAAATTGAGCCATTTAACAATACCCCCCCCCCCCCCCCCTTGTCTTTGTCTGGGGATTACATTATTTAAATAGAATTTTATTTCTTAAAAATTCAAATATAAAAATAATTATTTAAATAAATTATTATGTATCTGGTATCATTACTTAAATTTTGATTTTAAATATTTAACAGATAAACAGTGAAATAATAAATCAATTGTTTCACCTCTCTTTTATGGGTTTACCTTTTACTACTTTATCCCATATCTTCTAAGTTCTTATAAACAACTTTAGAACCCTTTATTATATGAAATAGAAACTTAGGCCCACGATTACAATACTAATTTTGTTTAATCAAAATCAAGATATTTTATAATCTAACATATAAATTTGTGTTATTTTGTTTTTTTTATATATCAAAAAATTTAATTTTTTTTTCCCATTATCAATCAAGAAGCTCTCTTAAAAAACAGGCATTTGATAGAAACCTTTTTCATTTTCAGATCAAAGATTAAAAATTATTTGTCAATTGTTAAGAAACATTATAATTTAATAAAATTAATATATTTTATTTGAATGTAGACATTTTTTTAGGGAAGATCTAGAACTTTCTAAACAAATTGGATATTTGCTTCTATAAAAATAAACTTTCCAATTTTCTCGTTTTAAAAAATCTCATTTCGAAATTTTCAATATTAAAAATTTACAATAAGATAAATTTTTTATTATAAATACGGAAAAATATACATATATATATACATATCTAATAATTATATATTATATCCCTAAAAGAATATATACATATATAAAATAAAACAATATAAATAATTAATAAAGGCGTTAAATGTAAAACTATAAGAGGAAAGGAATAGAATTCCAAGGAAATATCAAGAAAGTAGCAAAGAGAATCTAGGGAAGAGAAGAAAGTAATTTGAAGGAGGCATGGAATATTACATGATGCAAAAGATAAAGTTTAGATAATTAAGAGCCAATAATTGCAGTAGCTAGCCTTTGTCTTTAGAATAAATACTTTTTTCTGGAAATTAATTCTTTTCTTTTATAACACGAATACTACCATTAGTTATAATAGGGCTATTCGAATTAAATGATTTATCATCAACATCATTATTAGAACTATGAGTTGAGACTAATTCGGTAAAATATACAAGATAAAATTTCCCACATCTTTGATGATTTTGTAATTAATACCAAAGTGTATTTGTACTTTGAAATACTGTTTGCCATTGTATGTGTAAAGCCATTTAATGGCGTCATGTACCAGATTGTGGCCAGAATTTCTGAAGATGTGGGTTAGGAATTGGGAAAACTAAAACAAAAATTTAGGAAAAAATGGGGAACTATCCCCACGGTTACATCCCTAGATGTTATACATCTAGATCATTTAGTATATATTTTTTTTAAAATATTTATATTTCTTATTTCTTTCTCCTCATAGCAAATTCTATCATTGCTCAAGGTAATTAATTCCAGGGATCCAGTTGACGAGCACAGAGAAGATAATTCGGATATTCCTACATTAATTCTCTTCGACAGAAGTTTTTAGATTTTTAAACATAAAATACTCTTATTTCAATACATCCCTCCTCCAAAAAAATTAAAAAATAAAATAAATATTAGCTATCGATATTATAACTCCGCTTGTCACGTCACTCAATTATCAAAATTTGTTGGACGAAACTTACAACATAAATTCTGGATTCATCGAAATACCTCAATCTTTATTATCCAAAAAGTTATTGGAAGAAAAAATTAACGAAATACCGTTTAACACTCCCAGCACTTCCAACTTTAAAATTAGATTATCCAACGACCTGGTTAGCACTTTTCTTTTTTTAAAAAAAATAATTAATTCATGAATACTCAAAAACAAAAAAACTAAGGTTTTTCAAGAAATCAAGGATTCCCATTTCTCTATCGTATCCGAAAAATTGAAGGAAAAGAGCCATGAGTTGCAAATTAGTTATGAGGTTTAATATTATTATTATTTAAAAATATACTACAGATGACCGCTTCCTTATATTTACCCATTTTAGGCCGGTCCTTCTCAGCCACAATCCTAAATTTAACCTTTTAAAATAAATCAAACAACGTTTTAATCAAGATAATATATATATATACATACTTTTTGTTAGAATTGGTCCGGAACTAGTTTCTGGAAATGTTTTAGGATTAGGTTCATTTCCGGTTCCTATAAATTGAGTTCTAGGTTATGGTTTTAAAAAAAATTCTTTTTTAAATTGCTCGTCAAAAAGTCTTCTTAAATCGCTATGAGTGATCGCCATATCAAGATTTCACTTTATAATTAATCGTGCCGAACTCGTTCGAGCTAACCTGATGGTTGCGTGGAGTTTATTCTGACTCCCTAGCTTATGAGAAATTATTGGATTGATTAAGTTGTAGCCATTAAAAACGGCTATGACTTACACAATGGTTATACCACTTACTAATTATGTTTACAAAAAATTTAATTATCTTTACCTTATTCCCTGGAATAATTTTCTATGGTAAATATTCTACTCTTTTCCTTTTTTTTAATTCTAAGATAAAAATTAATTAATAACAATTTAATTTTAGGCAAATTTTGGTCATTTATATGGTAAATACAAATAAATAAAAATAATACAATAATAATCAAAATAATATTGATACATAATTCTTCAAAATAATATAACAGGACTCAGTGTCTTATAATCTAATTAATCAAAAAATCAAATTCTCGCGCCATTATTACGAAATAAAATTTTTCGCTTAAAAAATAAAAGAATCAACTCACGACAATGCGTTAATTATGGTCTCCCTAAGACCCCCCTCTCCCCCCACAGGAAAACTTATTATAAACTCTAGTTCACTAGTTCATTTCATAAAGACTCATTGAGCCCTTAAGCCCATACTGTCTTTTTTTAGGCGAAGTATATATATATATCCCTAAGCTCATAACCAGAGCTTTATTTATTTTGTAAAAAATATTTATTCTAACCATAAACTCACATCAGGTATATGCCTGGGTCTAGTAAAATTCAATAAGATATGCTTAATGTCTTACAGCCCAAAGTTATCTTCTTTTTTTTTGATTATATGTACATTATTTGAATACTTTTATTTAATAGAAAGGTCAAACATCTCTTACAGGAATAAAAGATTTTATAGCGAAACATCTGAAAAACGTCAAAAATCAGCAAAAATCATTAGCGCTACGTAAATATACACAATTTTAATTTATAATTAATATTATATTTTATTCTTATCTTTAAACTTTTAGATATAAGTATTTGTGAAAGTATTATACAAAATAAGGCCGACCTCACCGAAGATTTTCACCAGAAAATCATTATTGAACAAAGTTTACTTAATTTTAATCTTCCTCAATTATGTTATAAATTGTTAATTTAAGATATATTGCAAAATCAAGAAAATAAATTGTGTTGGCAGTTCTTCGACGAATTATTACTGAAAAAGGCATATTTTAGTTGTTTATATAACAAAAAAAAATTAATAACAAATTTAATAATATAACAGTCAAATCCCCACACGATATTAGCAATAGTTTCATTGTATTGCCTAATGCAGGATGGGCTCAATAATAAAGATTATACAAGATTCCAAAAAGACTTTTTACACGTATATTTTTTTTCGGATTTACTATTCATTATAACTTATAATTTATTTTTTGAATATAATGAAAATTTAGATTTATGGGTATGAATTTATAACAGCCTTTTACATGCTTACCAACGCAAAATTATTGTACGAAAAAAGTGCCAGCCTTTCTTCTAAATTTATCGGAAAGCTGTCAGACACATCTTTAGGAGTTGGCGGTGGATCTAACTGGGCTAATAGTGTGATTAAAAAATTATCGGAAAATGTAAAGAATTTTAAACTAAATCTAAACACTAGTGGATGCCCTCAATGGCAGCTTATTTAAAAATGAGTTTAAATATGGGCATTTCTTTATATTATTCTCATGTTTTTTTTTCTTTTAATATATGAAGAGCATATTTGTTTTTATTGACCTTGACCGTGAATCCATTTGTTCAATGAGAGAACCGCCTATAATATCTAGTTCGTTAAAACGCTCTTTGGTTTGAAACCGAACATTGGGTTTGTTGATTCAACCCTGACATTAAAAAATTATAAATTTTTCTTGTATAAGGGCACTCCACATTATTTTTAAACAATAAAAATAAAACTGTTAATTTGATTTTGATCTGGGTTTTTCACAGTAGGTTAATAATTTTGACTAAATATTCATGCAAAATTTTGATTTATTTTTGATGAGTAGTTTTTGAAGATATCACTGATATATTTCAATAATTTTGGTCAGCTAAATTTTTTTAAAAATATATTCAAATTTTATTTTTAACTTGGGTTATACAATTTATCCCATATATACCAGATTTTATTTAAAAATGACTAAGCAAACTAAACCATTTTTTGGTTTAAAAATAATTAGTAACTTTTTACAAAATAATTACTTTAATTCAGAAAATCAAATCATAATATCTCATAGCGAACGAGGTGAAAATTTTTATAGGATTCAGAACCCAAAATTAAAGACCTAAGTTTCTTTTACACGATACTTAAACATTTCATCAATGAATATCACTTATGAAAAATATTGTTTGTAAACACGCGGACTAAAAAAAAATGTTTTAAAGGGTGTAGTTTCCATGATTAAAAAAATAATATTTGAATCCGTAATTTTGAGAAAATGTATAAGATGTTATTATGGACAAAATAAAATTTTAAACTTTCGATTGACGGTTTCAATCCTTCTACTATTAAGTCTTTATAGTTATTTTGTAAAATATATATTTTTTAAAAAAGTCACCCTCCTATCAAAATATCAATGGGGATGCGTATTAATTTCCATTTTTTAAAAAAAATTTAATAGGTCGAGGAAAATGAATCAAGTCCTGTCAACATCAAAAACCCATGTAAAATGTCTTATGCTTATAATGGTGTTTACGAACCAATATCTACGAATCTTATAAGCAACGTATGTATTTTGTATTATTACTATATTAGTATGTATTATATACTTTTCTTTTTCCAAGAAATAAATCCTCTATGAGATTTTGGAACTTTAAAAATCGAATTTAGAAGGGGAGAAAGCGTTTTATATGTATTTTGATATAAATAATCAAGGCACTTAATGGTAATCAACAATTGATAGAGGAAGTTATGAAGCTTATTCCCGAAGGTAGTTATCAAAAAATTAGGAATCCTTTTGATACGAATATCAAAAGGTCTACGAACCACGGAGGTACACCAAGTATATATTTACATTTAAAAAAAAAAATTCTTTAAAAAAACACATAGGTAAAAAGGTATTGGTTTTTTTCATTGGTGGATGTACGCACGGTGAAATATCTACCATCAGATTACTATCCAAACAAATAGGTTCGCACTTTCTTTTTCTTTACAATTTTTAACCTATTAGGCGATATTATTTAAAATAAAAATAACTATTTAAAAAAAAAATTAGACCGAGAAATTTCTATCGCAACCACATCAACACTAAATGCCCGTAAATTTATCTCCGCGTTAATCGAATAATTTTTATTGTGTTTAATAAATATCAATGATAATTCGCTATAATAATAATATATTTTTTTTATAGTAATAATTACTAATATATTGTAATTATAAATAACGATATTTTGTATAAAATTTAATGATTTTTTTTTGTATAAAAAAAATTTACATATAAATCTTAAATATAAATATTTATACTATATAATAGATAATATATTACCCGTTTTTTAAAAGTTATTTATATAAACGGGTTGGTGTATTGATTTCTGGTGCCAGTATCGTCATTCGCTGCTTCATTATGCTTTGTTTACATATCTAGAAGTAATAATTGGATAAGATAAATTTAGGATATTCATCATCATTAAATATCCAATCAACAATTTTTAAAATGTAAGGATTGATCAAATGGAAAAATTATAAATTTAATTTCTAAATATATGGTTTACGAACTTCCTCTCGGATATCTGATAATTGGCTCGATAAATTGGTGACTAATTTTACCGTCTCTTCTAATTTAGTTTGCAAAATTTTGACGTCGTTAAATTGGTCATTCTCTTCCTCGTTAACGTGAAGTGACATAGTTCTCATGCGCGGGAACCAATCCAAATTTGCCTCCTTTTACATAAAAAAATATTTTAAAGACTCGAAATCAATCAGTTTAAAAAATATATAAATCTTCGCGATTAAATGGGCCCCATAAAAAGTTCTTACATGCCGGGCCGGACCGATATAAAAATTTTAACGGATGGTTCTGGGCCAGGCTGATTTCTAAGTATATCCGCTAATTTAAAATAAATAACCTGTATCATTTTTTGGACATAATATTCGGGACCGGTAAAATCGGTAGGGTCCTTAACTTTGAGCAGTACAATGAAATAAAAATAATGCCAAAGGTTGTGCTCCCTGTGAATGTGATCTTCGAACGTGACCTTTTTGTTGTCGAAAGACTTCCTTTCTAAGCCTTTAGATTTTATTATTTTGCGGGAAAAAAAAATTCAAAAACAAAATATTATTTAAAAATAACTTATTTTTTGAATATTTCAAAAAAACTAAAAATTCTCAGTACTTTTTATATATAATTTGTAATTGAAATTGTTTATTAATATTGTAAATTTACAGCAACAAAAAAAAATTCCCATTATTAAAATTAATAAATTACAACAAATGAAGCAAGTGTTTCGCGATATTTCATCTTTCTCTTGTTTTTCGCTTCTAAGATCGGCGAACGTGTCGATAATGACACCGAATATGAGATTCAAAACGATGATTATCACGATAAAATAAAAGAGCAAGTCATATATCACGCGAAATAAAAATAACGGTTCCTTTTTTTTAATGAAAATTTTGAAATAAAAACTTCCATAAAACGTATCCAGGATTTTCATATGTGGGAAAGGGGGAGGGAGGGGGGGGGGCATTATTATGCAGGGTTTACCGCCATAAATTTTATTGGAGGTCCTTTTCAAAGGATTGTTTGTAGTGATATATTGTATACATTTGGAAGAGGGTGGGAGGTGGAGTTTGTAAGGTGAGAATTTTTATTAACCTAAAATAATATTTACGAGAACACTCAATTCCGATCGAGAATTTTAACATTTATATTATCATTTTTAAACTTGTGCGGATTAACATTATACTTTTGTTAAATAATTGGAAAATACGATGTAAAAACGAATAATAGAAAAAAGGATCATTCATATATCACTACTACGCCTATTAATACTTTTTTTTTGGTGAGATTATTGCTTTGAAGAGGGTTTATAAGGTTCAAATTTTTATTTAATGAAAAAACAAGAATGTTTCCATACTTTATTGCTGGGCTTTCTTAGAACGTCTCCGATACCTCCACCGCTGCGCATCCCCTCACTCAGGGCCGTTATTATGCACATTAACAATGAATCACATACTCTCTCATTTATAGTTAGAACTTCTTCCGATAAATGGCTCGAAACAGATTCATTGCTGCCTTGAATGTTTAGAGACGATTTATTGTTCGTGTCTGTAGCACGTTAAATTTAATAATTCGGATTATATTGAGGGTATACTTAAACTAAAAATAAAAACGTAATACGTATTTTAGCGCGCATAAATATTTTATTCTTTTTTTTGGCTAAATATTATCTATAGGCAACACAATATTAACTTTAAAAAAATGAACTTTAGTTTATAATTTAACTAAAATTGACGCCATAATGCGCCGCCAAATATTATGTATTACGTTATTATGAAAGATCCAAGCATTCTAAAGAGAGTATCGATTATAAGCGAAATAATAAGATCAAATTAAAAATTTCTTATGGTTTACATCCTAATTAGCGCTTTGATTATAGGAATCGAATATTTTATTATTCAAATAATATTGGTGAATATTAATTTCTGATTATTCGTATCGAGTAATTATCTTTATTGAATTTGGATTCATTTTTACGAATAATTTCTAAATTCCTTGGATTTTTTAAAAAAAAATCCTGAGTGGTTTAAAAACTTTTTTATGATTTACTAATACCGAGTATGTTCTGGAACTATAGCATTTTTGGTACCTTAAAAAAAAGAAGTCTTTGAAGAAAGTCATTTTGAATAAGCTGTTTTATTTGAGCCCTTTTAGATAAAAGGATAGTGACGCCATTAGTAGCGAATCTACTTTTCTGTGGAAAGTAGTTATAAGAGCGCGCTTTTTAAGAAGCGTAAACAGTATTTTTGTAAAGTACCTTTCTAAACTATGTGCCTTATTTAAAAATTGCGAAATAAGTTTTATAATATATTATGTATCACCAAAATAATCGCACTTTATACCGCCACCCGATGGAGAGTAATGACAATTAGCATCGTCATCTATGAAACCAGAGAAATGTAGTAAGTTTTTGCCCGTGACCTGGTTCGCTATATCGGATACGCGTTTCAATCCGGAGGCTAACCCATTCGTTACGCTTAGTACAACAGCTCCGGCCGTACCCCCATCTGGTTATATCGTGATTAAGAATGTTATAAAGCGAAAGATATCAAAATGGGTTTGTTAGAATATTTGGAATCACCAATTAGTATAATTAGATTAAAAAGAAACTTTTATTAGTATGACAGCGGTCAAAATAAAACTAATAGAAATGATAAATAGAGCTAAAATTACGATTTTCAAGTTTATCAAATAAATTTTAAGAAAAATTATCAAAATGGTTTTCATATTGTTTTATTAAACATTTAATGATTTCCACAGTATTCCGATCATCCAAATTGGGTTGAACTTCGATAATGAAATCATTTTGGAAAAACAGGTATCCCAGTATTGCGAAAAGGTAAATCAATATCACGGCAAATACGGCCGTTAATACGATAGATCTGCCATTTTTGGTCACGGATTTTATTACATTTAGAAGGGTTTCTTCCCTGTAAACTACGTCTAGCAGCTTTTTTTAAAATTATTATATTAAGACATATTGGGGGGGGGGAATATGAATAATCTTTATAACTCCTTTAGATAATTTTATGCATTTTATTCGCGAATCATTAAACGTTTTTTTTTTAAAATCAAAATCTTATTATTGTACCATATGTACTTTTTTATTTTAGATGCAATGTTACTAAAAAAGAAAGTCATAATTGATTATATAGGGAAGGTAAAAAAAAGGAATAAATATTTCATCACAGGGAGTTAATAATTTATATATTATACCAACAAACTGTAGAAAAATTCGTGGTATAGTAATCCCGAAAGGCAAACGATCAAATATCCGAAATGGTACAGTATCTCAAAATCTGTTAATACGTGTCTGAAAGATTTCGTGAATTTACCTCGGTTTCCCATTAGACTAGTCAAATATATCGCAGAATTTATGACCTGACAAAAAAAAGAAGAGATTTAGGATTTGATTTATTATAAGGATAAAATTTATTACTAATAGAATTCCTAGAATGTTTAGCGTAAATTTGATCCCAAACGTTAATATTAATCTCACAATTATAGATACTAAGAGGGACAATATGCCAGGTCTCCTAGGCAGACAGATTACGATGCTAGTTGATATGAACAGAGCTAACCAAATCAACATTGAAATCCTTGGGTCGCCTCCTTATATAAATACATTTTTTTTATTACAAATTTTTTATTTAAATAAGGAGCATTATTAATTTCGAAAATAAAATAATAATTATATATTAAACAGAGTTTGAAGTGCTTCTCCAAAGTAAAAAATATCTTTGAAGATAAAAATAAAATTTAGATATTTTTTAAAATGTAGATTTTTCTATAATTTTTGATCAAAGAGTACCTAATAAATACCTTTTTTAAAATGAAACAAAATTTTTTTTAAAAAAAGATCAAGATCTTGATCTTATTTAGAAAAATCTTCCATTTTCAAACTCTGATATAAAGATTTAAATATTCAAACTTTGTGGTTTATTTGAGAAGGGATAAAAGAGCGCTATCAAAAGGTTTATCAGTAGAACTATATTGAAGGATATGTTGCTCCACATATTCATATGACTTGCAAACCAAAAAAAGATAGGCTGAGCTAGGGATACCAATAAAATATTCATATATTATTTGTTTAAAAAATACTATATATTTTATAGTGATTACATATAATATTTTTTTGTAACTCAATGCCTTTAAAGTATATCGATTATGTTAAAATTTATTAATTATACCTTGTATACATTACTATAATTTTATAATTTTTAATTCTCTAACCATAAATATTTTTGGAGGAATTATTCTTATATATTAGGCTAAAAAATCTAAGACAGATGGTATTAATCAATTCTAAGCCTATAAGAGCTTCCCTTATTATTGTCCTACTAATTGAAAAATATATATAAAATATGTTTACTATAGCAAAATTGATAAAAGATTTAACCTCTATTGTATAATGTTTAAATTTTTATCATCATTATTATATAAAGACTCATTTTAATTTAATGTATATTCTAAATTTTTTTAAGTAAATAATGGGAAATACACTAAAAAAAAAACGAATTTAATTTTAAATGTTAGAGTACACGCAGATGCATATACTGAAATTGAATTAGAAATGACAATATATGTATTTTAAATATTAAAAATAATCAAACATCTCAATCGCTTTTGCCATTTCAATTCGCTATAAAGATCCGGCACTATAGAAAAGAAGTCGCCCACTTTTCTCCCCTGTTCGTCTCTTTTAACTTCGTTGAACACTTTATTTTTGGTACCTTCAGTCAGGTATTCGCATATAGAAGGTATGGGGAATATGATTTGTTCTAGTCGTTGATCTTTCCTGACGATCTTTATAAAACATTGTATATATAAAAAAAAATGTACAAAGTTGTTGAGAGGATTCACTACGGGTAGTAGTCAAAATAAAATTTAATATGTTTATCATTTTGTTTCTTCCTTAAATTAATTTGCAAAGCTAATTCTATAAAATCGCAAACAATATTCAGGTTCAAGAACAATTTTCAAAAAAAATATTAATTACAAAATTACTAATATAACTCTTGATAAATAATCTTAACTTTTTCTCCCCCTGAAATTAATCCACCTAAAAGATTTAAAAAAATATATAGATCAAAAAATAAAGAAATATATGATTTATAACTTCAATTTGAGCCGTAGTTTTAGCATAAATTTCCAACGCACGTTTTGTTTTAACATCGTGTTGAGTATACCATGGATCTAATAATTCACTTAATTCGGGGTTATAATGCGACAGATGAAGAGCTAAGATATAAATATCGTGACCGACTACCTTGGGAGATATTTTATGAGATACCGCCTTTACATCGAAATCTGAAAATTTCAGGTGGGAACCGTTGAAAGGGTGGGGAATAGTATGCTTTTATTGGATTTTTTTAAAAATAATTAGGATTGGAATTTAGATATATTGTGATTTTATTTAAAATCTAGGATCGACAAAACGGAATGTACATAGGCTAAAAAAAATCAGTCTTATTCCCCCCCCCCCCCTAAGGAAATAAACAAAGTTTATTCATGGATAAAATAAATAAACGTTTTCTTAATGTTTTATTTTTTTTATTACAACTAGAGTCTTCAAGGAAAATATAGTCTACAAATTTTCTATTGCAAATTTATCAATATCACAATTATTTTAAATGTATATTTTATTTTATAACTTCGCTCATTTTGTTAAATTTGAGTTTATTAAAATTTACTAATTTCCTGGGTGTTTCAAGAATTTCGTTAAAATAAAATTTTTCGCTTTTTATATTTAAAAAAAAACAAGTTTTCTTTTTAAATGTTTTTTTTTTCCATTTTTTAAAACATTTAACAATATTAAATTATTATTTTTTTTTAAACAACAAAGATTTTATTTCATAATCTAATTAAAAAAACATATTTTAATAAACTAAATACATTGATAAAATATAATAATTTCATATTAACATATTATATCTATAATCAATATAAAAATATATAATTAAAAGGGAATTTAAAAAAATTTTTAAAAAAAAAATTATATTTAGGTATGGTCGGCGGGGCTTAATGACATGTATGAATAAGCAGATGGAACGACAGATTTCGATAGAAATTCTTTGTCGAAAGTTTTTGGATCACCTGTGGTTAAACGTAACCTTTGCCCTATTGTTTTAAATTATTTTAGGGTGTGGGGTCCAAATGATCCACAGGTGTCTGAGACTACCGGAACGAACAAAACATTATTAAGGTGGCAATATTTATTGGTTTTTGTATTCTCCTTTTTCGTGATGTTAAAAAATAAAGACACTGTATGTTATAACAAAAGATTGTTGATATTGATATTATTAAACCTCCGTATCCATGATAGTAGGTGTCACTGGTCTAATGTCGTTGGATTTTTTGGACAAATTATTAACGGTAGTAGCTGTGGAAACATCTTCATGAAAAGCTTTAACAATAACTTCCACCTAAATATTGAAATATCCAAAAGTTATGTTTAATTTATATTTCTAGGTAGTGGATGTATTAGAGATCCGCAAAGCTAGGCCCATCCCAAAGTGTTCGGATCGAGCTGGAGAAATTGTTCAAAATTTTCGATCTTGACCAAAGTTTTGAAAATGTTTTAAAAGGTGATAGTCGCAAATTTGTGTCTATTTCCTTCATAAAAAAATTATTACGGGTAGGATTAGGGCCGGAAAACTTGTAAAAAATATATTTAACGGGTCTGGTCGAAAAACCGGGTGAAAAATATCTACTAAGAGGCATATACCAAATGTTTCGGGTTTAAATTGAATAGAATTCTTTCCGAATTTTCGTTGTCATGTCTACTTTCCATGAGAGAGAGCAAAAGTTTCGTAGCGTTATACTTGAATTATTTTTTAAAAAATAAAATATTTAAGGGTACGTTAAAAATAAATTTTTTTAAAGTGTATTTTAACTTTTGACAACGATGCTGCTTAAATATGTATAAAACTTTTTTATTTGAGTTTGAAAGTATACCCATAAAATAAATTAAATTCGAAATCTATCAACTAAATAACACTTTTACTTTTAATTCTAAAGCTAAATCCAATCTATATTTGCCTAGAGGAATGATGTCATTCAATATGAGAGCGATAATAATATCGATGCCATTAGATTCATGGCGTGCAATGCAATTCTGATTTTGAAAAAAAATATAAATTAATAAATATATTTAATTTGGAAAGGGATTTAAGGGAAAAAAACTAGAGAGGAAATTATAAAATTAACTTGATTATCGATACATGGACCCTGACAGTATTCTGTTAAAGTGTTCAAAATTTGGGATATTAAATTAACATTTTCCTCGTTGATATAAAGACCTAACAATCCTAACCCGCCAGATGTGCTCCCGCATATACAATCCAAAAACTGCAGCGTCTCCGATACCATGTTGGAGTTCGTTTTCATATTCTGAGACCTCAGAAAGTTCTATTTAAATAAAAAAAATTATTATTCATTTTTATTTTGTCAAGTAATTCAATTATATTACATTTTCATAAAATACATATCTTAATACTGCTGCCCATTGACATTTTTTTTTATCGGTCTTCTAAAAAACAAAGTTGAACGTCCATCTTGTTTTTTTCCCATACTAAAATAGCGAGTCCCTAATTATGCTTTATTGAAAGATTAGTCAATCGGGAGGTTATATCTTAGACAGGACGTGTTCAAAAGATTCTAACTTATGAAGGGTGACATTTGATCTAATCTGGTCCTCAAATTATTTAAATCGTTAATACGAAAATTTTCTCTTATTTTTAATGATCGATCACTTTCCTTAAAAAAGCTTTAAAAGAAAAAAAAATAAGGTATTGTGGTGCATATATGTTTAATTCGCTGGTTTATTTTATATAAGAATATGATTTAATTAAAAAAATATCTACTATATAACACTACAGGGCACTATTTATACCTGAAGTAAAATATTATGATTTTCGCATAACAACTGTAAGAAACGTAGTATGGGAATCATTAGATCTAGTTGTGAATAAGTGTTTTTATCACTTTCATCTAATAGAACGTTAGGATTTAGATTGTTTCCAAATTTATCGTAGTTTTCTGATTGCACAGTATCTTTACCAAGTATAAAACAAATAAATAAAAAACATTAATTCCCCCCAAAATATTTGTTTATATTAGCAATATAGTCTTCTGCAAACCCAACTTTAAAAAATAATATATGATGTTTTTTTTTCCAAAAGTACCTTAATATTTAGTGCCTTATGGGAGACCAGAGCTAGTCTGTGCATGTCAAAATCATCATAGGCCCGAAAATAATTGTTTTATTAGAATTTACGAAATACCATAAGATAGCCCAAACATTCACCTAATCTTATACATGGATAAATTTTTAAATCTTTATACTTTTTCTTAAGATTGATTCTACTAAAAGTGATTCTTTGCGCCAACAAGCCACAAACCTGGAGTTTATAGATCTAATTATTTTATAAAGTCTCCCGTGGGATATAATATATCATATCTGTAAGCATAATTTGATTGATCCGACTAGCCCCTAGTTACACATATTATTAATATACCTTTAAAAAAAGTATTTTAATATGATATATGATTATGAAACTTTTTGAATTGCGAAAAGTGAGTTTTAAATTTCATATGTTAAATTTATTATTTTTAAATTCCCCATATTTTAATATCACCTTAAATTGTGGTGTAAAAACATTTTGATTTTACCTAAAAAACATATTTTATAATAGAAATATTCAAATACTAGGAGTTCGCCTCAAATATGCATATTATACAATTCTATTACATATTTAAATTTGAATTTCTAAACATATCTGGTTTTTAAATAAAGTCCGTTGGATCGTCAACTTCTTGCGCTGACTAGCCCTTTTCTCCCGTACATCAATCCCGCCATCCACAAAAAAACAACTAAAATATAAGCCAACACGCCTTAAGCGGGAATTTGAAAAAATTTAAACCTTATTAGACATATAGAAGTGGAACCACAACATAAGGTGACAATAAGGGTAGCCATAATTTTCTAGGGGGGGGGTGGTGGTTAAAGTTTGGATCACATATACATGTATAAATTTAATTGGAAGGATTGATGACCGCTTTTGGAAGACCGTTGGCCGTGATACATTTTTTTTAAACAAGACTTTCTTGGCTAAGCCCAAGAAGATGACTACAACTCAAGAGTGGTAATGTTTTGATTAAGATAAAATAGAACATTTAGAAGAGCAGACAAAGTTGAATTAAGCCAGAGGGAGCGTCCTAAATAGGTCAAGATAAGATTGCGGTGACAATAGAAGGAGCTTCGTAGTTATCGTTATTTTAGTTATATTACTATTTGTTTGTTGTTCATTAGGTTTTAAAGCTTTCCCGAACGATCTTGCCACGGATTTAATCGCGTTGTAAGTTGCCTTACCAGCTTCGTCGAGCTGAGTCTTTAACTTGTCGTGTAACATGTACGGTTTAGATATGTTGAAAGCTTATATATATATTTAATATTTTTTTAAAATTTAATTGACATTTATTGGTAGGGCTGTGCCGATATTTAGAGTTTTCCAAAAATATCGGATCGGGCCGAGTAAAAATCCCGATCCGATCCAGTCCTTTTACTAAAAATGCAATTTTTAAAACTTTTGAGTAATGAAACTTTGAATTATTATTACATCATAAAAAATATTTTAAAAAATAATATATTTTTCTGAGTTTCAGTGAGTTTCTATTTTACATTATTAATATTTTCTAAATAATTTTTTTTTTAAACAATGCAAATGTTATTTATTTTTTTAAATAGATTTTAAAAGTTTTTTTATAAAAAGAAAAAAACACCCAAAGTTTTATATATTTTTAATTTTTTAAAAAATAATACCAATTTTATTATTTATACTTTAAATAAAAGAATTATTTTAAATATGGTTTCTGAATTATGGAAATATTTTGATAAAGATGGAAAAAATTTGGAAAATGCGTTATCTGCGGAATTCTAATTTCACGGGGAGGAATAATGAAAAATTCACTTAATACAACAAATATTCGAAACATTTTAAGCGTTTCCATCAAACAGAATTCGAAGAGCTAATACAAAAATAACGAGAAATATTAGAAAAAACAAATCAAATTTTTTTAAAAAAGAGCCCTGAAAGTCAGCCAACAATATCAGCCATTCTTAATAAAACTAATATTTTGAAATGAAAATCTAGAGGCTCTTATATTTATTAAAAAAAATCTAACAAATTATAATTTTATTTGTCAAATATTACAATTTTATAAACCAACATAAAATGATAAATTATTATATTTATTCTTATAATATAATTTTTTTAAAATTATTGTTTGAAATAAAAAAAACTAAATTAATGCATAATTCTTTTGCATAAAAAATATTGATTTCTTAATTACATTTGGTTCAAAGAGGGTTGGTGAAAAATCAATATAAATATCAGATCGGTATCGGAGAACCAATATCGGATCGGATCGGTGAAAAATATGTGGATCGGCACGCCCTATTTATTGGTATTAAAAAAAGATTAGACCACTGCAAGGACCTATCCGACCAAACTTGAACAACCATTTTCTTGGAATCGGGTGGACAAGAACCTAGAAAAAAGTTTAAATTATTTTATATCTCTAATTGTTCTATATGAAATTTAGAGAATAACCAAAAAATTGTTCATTTTTTTGTTAAAAATTATTGTGCTTTTCCAACACTTGCAATAAAAAAATATAATTATAAATCGGATGGAATCAGACCTATTTCTAAAATAGCATTTCGAAACGAATTCAGATATTTGGAAAAAAAAATTGTCATCAGATTGGTCAAAATTTTGGATCAAGTAGGACCTATAATAAACAAAAAAAACCACCGTCAAAGGACTTTTAAAACAAAAATTCCAAAAAATAATGAAAAAATTATAGGTTATTTACAACTCTTTTCTTTAGCCCCTTGGAGACAACCCAAAGATTTTAATAGCTTCATTTCTTCCTTTTTTTGGGAAGTAGAACTGTCTCCGATATTGGCCGATGTTGAGGATTTAATATCCATTTGAGCATTTAATATATGTTCGGAGATTACTTTGAAGAAGGAGTCGCACTTCAATGCATCTTTGGAGAGGATTTCATGAAAAGATTTCTATAATATGATCAATTTAGACAATATAAACAAGGTAATAACATGACTTTACAATTTCTGATTCTATAATTTAAACTAAAATACTATGTATATTTTAAAGCTAATGTGCAAATTAATTTAGCTAGTGCGCCTTTGACTACCAGGAGTTAGAGGTGGGTGCGGGCCATAAAAATCCTGTGACCTGATAAGTTATGCCGTGAATGTGAAATAATATAATTGAAAACTAAACATTTTTATTTGACCTTTAATAAACCATTTTTTTTTCATCCCTAGAAACTGGAGACTTGAATGATGATAAATTTATTTCAGAAATTATCTTGAATTTTTCAATTTATCAATGAATTTTTCGGGCGTGAAAAATATTGTTATCTTTCGTGAGTGGAAAGGTCGGACTAAAAAATTTTAGCTGTGAATTTTATTGACTGCCCGCGGTAGGTGGGTCGTGATTAAAATATTGGACCCGCTCCCACCTCTAACAGCAGCAAGAACAGGATTTCAAATTTCAGGAACCGAAAATAAAACCCCCCTCTGAAAAATATTCAAAACTGTAACCAGTATCGCTTTTTCTAGTTAGGGCTGAAAACTCTGGTTGATCTATATAGTTTGAAAAATTTCTATATATTCTTTAATAGATATGGGTAAAATATTTTATATTTACAAAAATAAAAGCCATCCTATTTTTTCTTGTTATTGGTAAACGTTTCCCTGCTTCCAATTTTTATTTAAAGTGAAATGGGAATATAATTCATAAATTTAAGTGAAACTTGGACAGTTTGGTTGCCACCCTCAAGAACAGCTATTCCAAGTTCTAAGCATTCCATAAATATATTGAGATTAGGATTTTTGATGATCAAATCAATTATAAGATTCGTGGCACCTTGCTATTTAAATTATATTTTTTAAAAAAAAGGTGAATATGGGATAGATTTTAAAGTGATTGAATATTTATAAAATATAATCTCATGATCAAACAAATTATGATCCTTATATATAACATAATATTTAATAATAAATCGATAATTCTTTTTTTATTATGTGATATTGAGAATAATTTATTCTTACTTTATCCAATTTATCTTGAACATCGGATAGCTTTTCAGGATCTAAAGTTGTTTTACTTTTAGCGATCTTCTTGGGATCCTTAGATTTTATTTCTTTGGTCATATTTTTAGCGTTGAAGTATTTGACTAGTAAAGAATTCCTCAAAATAGCGCCCTTTAATCAAAAATATATAATGTAATATTAAATGACTGTGCAACAAGAGGTGATCACATTTTTAAAAAATAAAACAGTCAGAGTCTTCAGAAAAGATGAAATTTCTGTTTATTAAAATGGGACATATCCCTATGATACTATACCTATGACATAAATACGTTCTAACAATAAACCATTTGCCCCCCCCCCCCCATTTAAATGAGATGCTTAAGTCAGGAAGAATAGGCTTCTATCTTATCCGGACTGGACATTTGATCCTTTCAGTTATACTATAGTACTATATCTCTCTATCATATAAGCAAAATTAATAAAAATAATAAATCTATAATTAGATGACCGATAAAATTTAGAATAATTACTTGGCTCGGTGTTTCCTCTTTTAATAAATGTTTGGGATCCTTTTTGCAAGTAAATTGTATATTTTTTTAATAAAAGATAATTTTAAAAAAATTATATACATTGAGCTCTATTATCTAAAGATTTTTAAACCTCTCAACACGACCGATATAATTTTAACTTTACTGGAATTTAAGTTTGTGAATCGAGCAAAATTTACTGATATAACAAAAAATTAAAATTAAAATATTCCCTTTGATAATATTCCTTAGCATAATTATTCAACTTAATAAAGCCATTTACAAAAATTACAATTCTCCGCACAACGGACAAATATAATATAAATATAATTTACAACTTATATGTAAAAAAAAAAGGTTTTTCAAAGATAGGAATATCTACTTACCAGTATAAAGCTGGTTTCATGGATAGTCATCATTTCTTTCAACGTTTGAAGTATTTTGATACAGAGAGTCTCTTCCTTTTCTTCATACAATTTACTGGTATGCTTTATTAATCTATAAATATTAATTATATTAATTTTAATTTTTTTTTTAAAAAAAAATGATGAGTTATTGCAACTAAAGTAAATGAGCATACCAGAGCATTCGAGGGCATAATATTAAAAGATAGCAAGCCAAAAATTGAGATTCAAAATGAATTTCTTAAAAATTTAGATATTTCGAAAGTTTTACAAACATTAAAAAAATTTACCGCCTGCTATTTCCATATTTTATTAAATGTTTTTCTCTAATGCTAGAATGTACCGGTATTATTAACCAATGATGATTAAATTTAAAATTTAGCAATACTAATTAATATGATAATATTTTTTCAAACTTATAATTATATAAAAAAAAATGTGTAAAAAATTATGAGTTCTCTAGTGTTTGCAAAGGTCCGGTCCCATCCGGCCCGGCCCCATCCGGTAGATTTTTAAGTCAAGTAAGGCCAGATCATGGGGCCATCGGTTTAGTCCGGTCCGGTCCCATACATAAAATGTTTTTTTTATTCTGCATTTAAATTTATTAAAAATGAAAAGTGTTAAATTACCAATATTTTCATTATATCATCAAATCATTTTTATTATATTATACAATACAAATTACCCTACTAAATTAAATTACTTGACGAATGAATTGAATGAAACGGGAGATATAAAAATTAAACGACGAATGAGATATTTATAAAGTGTTAGGCATTAAATAATCATATTTAATGTGTTCATGTATATGTACATTAACTAAAAAGCAATTCACAGTAAACTTTTATCTTCTCAAATCGATTTTCGGTCGAACTGGACCATCGGACCGTGTTGTCTGACCGGACCATCCCGTCGGACCCAAGAGTCAGATGAGACCGAAATGGACCGGACCGGACCACTGCAAACACTAGAATTCTCTCTACTACAATTTTAAATTAAATTCTCATTTATCAATTATTTCTTAAAATGTACCTCAAAATTAATCCACCGCTTTCGAAAACGATTCTGATTTCGGAATAAGGAGGATATAAGTATTCAGGACGATGCAAAATATCCACGAGTATAGACAGTTCGGCGTGCATTAATGGCTTAAAAAATTGTTCCTGATATGTAATCATCTCCTTTAAAAATCATTTAATTATTTTATTATCTTTTCAAAGTTTCATATAATTTTATGTTTCCTAAATGAAAGTGGAAGATTAAGATTTATACTTAAATTTTTAAAAAAAAATTTAATATATTCCTAAATGATCCATATTATGACGCCTATTCAATCGCATCGTCGCTCAGAATTTTTTTTTAAAAAAAAATACCCTAAAAAATTTAAAAAAACATCGTTAAAAGTTAAAAAAATACATTTAAAGAATAAAAATAAATACTTGAATGTTCAAAATTGATATTTACGGTAAAAAATTGAATATATAAGAATAAAACTGAAATAATTGAAAATGGATTTTTAGACATGATTTTGAACGAAAACAGTCTAAATTAGATTTTGAATATATTAATAATGCTATCAAAATATATCGCCGGGGTGGCCTAATGGGTAAGATGTAGGCTTGGAAACACGAGTATGAACAAGGACGCGGGTTCAATCCTGGTAAGAACCATAAAAACTTTCAAGTTTTTCTTCGATGACTGATGTGTAAAGACATATGGTATGATGAATTTCGGAGCTTAGAGATGACACCCCGGTCACCGACAGGCCTGGACAGCCGGGTGCTAAGGATACCTGTCCAATAAACAAAATGAAGGACACAAATGAAAATATGAATATGAAAGCTAGGGCGTTCCCTCCATGCGACGCGCAGGGTGTAGACCTCCATCCTGTGAAAAATAAAGTAAAGGTCAAAGCAAAGAAGACAAGACTGGCAAGTTTGAATATTGGGACGCTTAAAGGTAAGACGAGAGAATTGGCATCAATGTTGAACAGGAGAAAAGTTGATATAGCCTGCATACAAGAGACGAAATGGAAAGGACAGAAGACTTTGATGATTGGAGATGGGTATAAATTGTACTATAATGGACTTGTTAGCAATAGGAACGGTGTCGGCATCATCCTCAGTCAAGATCTAACCTCCTCAGTTGTAGAAGTCAACAGGATCTCTGATAGACTAATGAGGATAAAACTCTGCATTGGTCAATCAATACTACACATCCTATCAGTATATGCTCCTCAAACGGGTTGCAAGGAAGAAGAGAAAGATGACTTTAGAGCTATCCTTGATGAAGCCGTAATGGAAATCCCTAAGGATGACCTAGTCATAATTGGTGGTGACTTAAATGCGCATGTGGGGAAAGCAAGAGATAGCTACAAAAGGCATCATGGTGGTTTTGGATATGGAGAAAGAAATGATGAAGGAGAGCACGTACTGAAATTTGCGCAAGCCTTCGACCTTGCCTTAACCAACACCTACTATAGGAAAAAAGACAGTCATTTAATAACATATGAAAGTGGTACTAGGAAAACACAGATAGATTACATGCTAATCTCTCGCAGAAGATTAAAAGATGTAATAGACTGCAAAGTCATCCCAGGAGAAGATATCGCCGCTCAACACAAGCTACTAATCATGGATTTACAAATCTCAAATAAATCCACTCAAAATAAGATAAAACTGGAACCATGCATCAAATGGGGCAAATTAAAAACAATGACAGATGCCTTTGCAATCAATGCAAACATTGAAACAATAAATTGCTCACAAGTCAGTGAAAAAATCTGGACAGACCTTTCATCCAGATTAATAGACACTGCAAAATCGACGCTAGGCTTGACAAGAGGAGGCAACAAATCACACAAAGAACTATGGTGGTGGAATCAAGAGGTACAAACCACTATACAGGAGAAAAAAGATGCTCCTCAAACGGGTTGCAAGGAAGAAGAGAAAGATGACTTTAGAGCTATCCTTGATGAAGCCGTAATGGAAATCCCTAAGGATGACCTAGTCATAATTGGTGGTGACTTAAATGCGCATGTGGGGAAAGCAAGAGATAGCTACAAAAGGCATCATGGTGGTTTTGGATATGGAGAAAGAAATGATGAAGGAGAGCACGTACTGAAATTTGCGCAAGCCTTCGACCTTGCCTTAACCAACACCTACTATAGGAAAAAAGACAGTCATTTAATAACATATGAAAGTGGTACTAGGAAAACACAGATAGATTACATGCTAATCTCTCGCAGAAGATTAAAAGATGTAATAGACTGCAAAGTCATCCCAGGAGAAGATATCGCCGCTCAACACAAGCTACTAATCATGGATTTACAAATCTCAAATAAATCCACTCAAAATAAGATAAAACTGGAACCATGCATCAAATGGGGCAAATTAAAAACAATGACAGATGCCTTTGCAATCAATGCAAACATTGAAACAATAAATTGCTCACAAGTCAGTGAAAAAATCTGGACAGACCTTTCATCCAGATTAATAGACACTGCAAAATCGACGCTAGGCTTGACAAGAGGAGGCAACAAATCACACAAAGAACTATGGTGGTGGAATCAAGAGGTACAAACCACTATACAGGAGAAAAAAGCCCTTTATAAAATATGGTACAAATCCAAAAATGCAGATGACAAGTCAAGATACAAAAAATCCAAGAGATTAGCTACAAAGGCGGTGGCTAGGGCCAAATCTATGGCATACGATGACATGTACGAAGATCTACATACCAAAGAAGGGCAAAATAAAATATACAGATTAGCCAAACAGCGAGAAAAGAACTCTAGGGATATAAACGGAGCTCCGAAAGTAATCAAAAATAAAGATGGGAAATTGATAATAAAGGAAAAAGAAATAATGAATAGATGGAAAGAATATTTTCAGGAGCTTCTCAACTTTAATTCCCACATATTGCATCTCGATGAACACTCCCCTTGTCAAAACCTTGTACAACCTATAACGGAACAAGAAATAATCACATGCCTCAAGCATATGAAAAACAACAAAGCTAGGGGTCCAGACGATATTCCAATAGAAAGCCTTAAAGCACTAGGAGATGATGGAATACATCTCCTCACAAATCTGTACAATAAAATACTTGGAAATGAAGAGGTCCCCCAAAAATGGAGGCAGAGCTATCTAGTTCCTATCTTCAAAAATAAAGGGGATCCACACAATTGTCAAAATTACAGGGGCATAAAACTAATGTCACACTGTCTAAAACTATACGAAAAAATAATAGAAAAAAGATTAAGAGATATAATCGAAATAGGAGAGACACAGTTTGGCTTTATGCCTGGAAGATCAACAACCGATGCTATCCATGCAATTAGGCAAATGAGTGAAAAATACAGGGAAAAGAACAAAAAGCTACACATGGTCTTTCTCGATCTAGAAAAGGCCTTCGATAGAATCCCAAGAAAACTTATCTGGTGGGCGCTACGCCACAAAAAAGTTCCCGAAAAATATATAAGAATAATAGAGGATATGTATATGGGACATACAACAATGGTCCGTAGCACAACAGGTACTTCAGCAGGCTTCACAATAGCCGAAGGAGTTCATCAAGGGTCGGCTCTCAGCCCACTTCTCTTCATTACAGTAATAGATGTATTAGCACAGTCTATACCTCAAACAGTCCCGTGGAATATGATATTTGCAGATGATATTGTGATACTTGCCGAATCCAAGGATGAAATGAAAGAAAGGTTAGTGAATTGGATAAATATCCTAGAAACGCACGGATTAAAAGTAAATAGAGAAAAGACGGAGTATATGGTGATAGGAGGAGATGAAACGGAGAGTATTGATATAAATGATTGGCAGATATCCGCAATTGAAAGCTGCAAATATTTGGGCTCCACTATACAAACAAACGGCACAATAGAAAAAGAGATAAAGAATAAGATTAATCAAGGGTGGTTAAAGTGTAGATCTTTATCTGGAGTGCTATTTGACAAAAGAATCCCACACAAATTAAAGGGAAAAATTTACAGTTCCATAGTACAACCAACTATTCTATATAGTTCGGAAACATGGCCAACCAAAGAATCAGACGAGAGAAGTCTACAAACTATGGAGATGAGAATGCTGAGGATGATTGCTGGGGTAACAAGAAAGGTTAAGGTGCGCAGTACAAGAATACTAAATAGTTTAAAGGTAGTGCCCATTAAGACTAAGTTAATGGTAAACAGACTTAGGTGGTATGGGCACACAATGAGAAGGCCTATGAACTACATAGGAAATAAAGTTGAAAGATTGGAAGTGATGGGCAAACGTAAAAGAGGAAGGCCAAAACTTCAATGGGGCCATAAAGTTAGAGCCAATATAAAGAAGTATAAAATAGATAAAAGAGATTGTACGAATAACATAAAGTGGAGAGAGATGTTGAAGGAGCTTACCACCAGAAAAGGTGAAAGCTAAAGAGAAAAAAAAAAAAAAAAAAAAAAAAAATAATGCTATCAAAATATCATTAGCCTTCATTTGATACCCATGTTCAACTATTATATACAATTATTTAAAAACGACATGCCACTTCCCCCCCCCCTCAATATTCTAGACCCAGGACCTAGAATATTAATTAACTTCTATTATACCCATATTGAATTATTATTATAAATATTTAAAACACGCCTGGCCTCCCTACAAATTTTCCTATCAAAAAATAATGTGAATAAATAAATATTTAAAGCATATAAAAAGAAAAAAGAACCCCATTTAAAATAAAATTCTGAGCGATTTATTAAATTCAAAACAAAGATTAAAATAAAATCAAACTTTTATACTAAACAAAATCGTTTTAGATTGGGGAAAAAAAATTATGAGAAAATCAGTAAAAATTATTAGTATTCAAATACTTTTATTAATAAATTCTATACAATTAAGGGAAAAAAAATGTCTAAGCGTTGTTCAGTTTTTTATTATGAGAAAGAAAAACATCGAGCAATTTTTTTTGCTAACTTGAAAACATTGAACAATGACTTTGTACTCCTTGTCCGTGTTATTGCTGGATTCTAATTTAGCTTTCCCAACAGACAACCACAACTTAGAGTGTTTGATCAGCGTTTGAGCTTGCGAAAATAATTGTTCTATTTCGGTTTCAAGATCGACGGGTATGGCGATGTTCCTGTTCCTTGCTAACAAAATTTTTAAAGAAATTTGATTATTTATTGTGTTGTGTTTTAGAATTTAAAAAAAATTATATTGGCATATAATAGTTTTTATCATGTTATTCCGCAAAATGGTAAATGTCGCTTTCCGCAAAGATAATTCGGTGAATTATTTTAAAAAAAAACATTAGAGGGAACGCATTTGTACGAAAGCATTGAATTGAAGCGAATGTATTTTGGCGGAAACTTTAGGGCGAACAGGGAAAATATTTACAAAGGTATTATCGTGATAATTCATTTGGGCGCTTTATCGACAATATATTCGCGATACGTTTCGTTTCCAGATCTGACAGCAGCCAATGAAACAATTCGCGCATCTAGATATATATAATTCTAAGCGAACTCTCTAAACCTTACAGATATCATGCCCTTATATGCATAAAAGTTATATTGGTATAATGACACTTTTTCTGATTATATAATATTTCTCTTCAAAGAATTCAAATAATTAAACTTGTGCCCTACACACAAATTATCTTAAAATTTTAACTCATCCGATCCAAAATTGATCAGATAACCGGTAAGGGGTTGCCAAATTAATTTTGGTCAAATATCAGTTTGAGATCGAGATCAGCACAGCTCTAATACAATTAAACGTTTATGCAAAAGGTTTAAATTCTTAATATACACAGCTTGTCAAAAATATGAACACCTGTATCGCATAACGCGCGGATGCAATTTTCCACATGATATTTGTGCCCTCCTGATATTTTAGTGGATTGGGATAGTTTGCAAGCGGCTTCCAATATTCTTATATATAATGGTTGCTTGCACTAATTAATCAATAAAATTAGGTATATAATAAATTATGTGGACATTTTTTTTTAATTTCAAAAATGGTTTATGGAATATATTTATAATACATTATAAGGTTTTGAGCATTAAATCTTATTGTTAGGGCGCTAGCGACACCTTTACGCTTAATTTACGAAAGATAAAGAACATTCATGAATTAACTAATGTTAAATATAAATAAAAACTCCAAGTAACATACTAAACACGATTTTTTTAAAAATTTATCACAACATTTACATTGGAATTACATGTTAAGTTACATTAAATAAGAAGAATGCATCACATCACACAAGTATAAACTTATAACTATATTAGTAAACATATGTAAACATAACATTATATATAAATATATCTAAGAAAAGAAGGAAAAGAAGAAGAAAAAAAACTTCATTAAACATAGATGCTCTATGGGAACGTTTAACATACAAAGGCGGAGGCATGAGATAACTGAAATACAGAGTATTTGAATTTTGTTCACTCATAACATTATCACTCGTATTATCATTCGTATCCTCGACAAATATGAAAGGCGAGCTAAGACCATCAAGCAAAGAAGTGCGGGATTTACTCTTTCTTATTTTTCTATTACTTCCGTAACCTTTACAAGCATCCAAATGTTTCTGAAGTTAGTATCATTATTTTTTGTTAAAAACATTAGTTGTTTTTTTTTCCTTTAAAAATATACTACACTTTTAAGAGATACCCAGACAAATATCTAAAATTAAAGCGCCAAAAGCGGGTTAAAACGTTTTAAAACTTAAAAAAAATAAATAAACAATTAATATAAAAAATTTCGCAAACTCCAAAATTTCATAAAATGGCAAAAGCGGATTAATACAAACGAAAATGTTAGTTAAAAGGCTTGCAAAGTCGTGACATTAAATAATCTTGCTTTATTTAAAAAAACAAAAAAAAAAGCAAAAAAAGAGAATAAAAGTTTGTTCAAATATTATTATAATGATGTTAGTTTTTTAAAAATAAAATAAAATATTATAATTATAAAAAAAAAATTGGATATATGGATAAACTTTAACGGTAACACTTTGTTCCGAAAAAGGGGAAATGAAAAAAGAGATTATGGCATTCATCATCGTAGTGCATACATAATTTTCTAATAAAATTTGGTTGGAATCGTATTTCAAGCTTCTAAGTAGGTCTTTCGATATAACCTATGTAGTAATAAAACAAAATTTAAAAAAATATAATTTAATAACTAATGAAAAATAAATAAATAAGAATATATAATTTGTTGTAATTTTTATATCATATATATAACTAATATAATATACAATGTCAATCAAATAATGCTTAAAATTAGATTAGTGGATTATAAATGTAATTATATAGCGCGTACGCAGGAATTTGGTGTGGGAGGGGGGATAATTAAAATTTTTTAAAATAAAATTATTGTTATTTAAAAATATCAAACATAAATTTATTAAGACTAATAACTATTTCTAATATACAAATTTAAATTAATATGAATTATAAAAAATTAAATATATAAACTGGTATATAAAAATAAATTTGAATTAAAAAATATTAAACGGATATAACCGGCGGCATATAAATACTTTAAATAAATCTGAATTATAAAATATTAAGTGGATATAACCAGGATATGAATGACTATAAAATAAATAATCCATAATAGAAATTTAAATTTTTTTGAGCCTTTAAAATTTATATATAAAGTATAAAAAATTTAAATGTTGGAAATATGAATAATTATATTTTTTATGTAAAAGAAAAATATATGAGACATTAAAAAATGATTGCACAAAAAATATTATAGAAACATTTTATTTTTATAATGTAAAATCCAATCTTCGTTGGGATTGAGCTAATTTTTCAATTATTTCATCCGTGCTTGGCGTCAAATACCTATGAATATTCAAAAGGGCCAAACCATTAAATCTACTTTCAGAAGTTGTACTTCTTAGGTACGTTTTTAATTCTTAAAGAAAATAATGTTCTCTCATTAGTTGCAGTACTAATGGGAAGAGTAGCTAATATATATAATAATTTCGATGCAAAGCATCCATAGCATTTTTTGGGACTATATCAACCATAGTTAATATTTTATATCATAGTTGGCATTCAGCTAATAAAGCATCATGAGATACATAAACGTCTTCATGATAAAAATCTGCCAAATATTTTATTTTTTTTCTATCACCATCTGAAAAAGGTTCAGATAGCTTTTGCGGAAGTAATATCTGCAGATTGGTAAGTGCAGCTTGATGAATTAAAAACCGTCCATTTACTTGGGTTATAAATGTATCCAAAAGAGGTATAAAGACATTGCTTTTATAATATTCTTCTATTGACCCTATATTAATATTTGGACGATAAGCTTGCCTTGCTGCAAGTCGAGGGAGACAAATATTGAACTCGTATAGCTCTGCTTTTGATTCAACAATAAAAATATTTTAAAATTAAAATTTTATTAAATTATTATACTATACCTTTTTGCTTTTTGGTATGATTTTCACTATCTTCAGTGTTTTTTAAAAAAAAGTCTAATATCCATGACTAGAAATTTGAAAATGGTGAAAAAATATAATACCGGGAAATTTAAAAATAATAGATAAATATTACGCCAAGGAAAATTTGAAAATTTAATTAATTGATAAAATAAATTATTAAATGAAAAAGGTAATAATATAAAAATTTAAAAAGAACGAGATATGAATAAATATAATGAAATATAAATGAATATAAACAATAATATTTTTGAAAAATATATCCGGCATCTGCATTTTTTGGCTTTAAGGAGAGGGGGGGGATTTGCCCCCCCCCTGCCCGCTGCGTACGCTTATATTAATATCTTATGACAATATTATATGATATTCATGTAAGACATCAGTCAATCACTATGGATTAGTGAGGGAAAATTTTTGATCGAAAACCCAACTCCTTTGTTATAATTTATTTTGATATAAGATAAATATAATATTGATGAAAATATTGACGTATATTAATAAAAAATATCATTAGAAACTAAACCTTATCAATATCTTCTAAGAAATTTTCAAATAGTATCCATATGTGATTACTGCTATAAATTTCTTTCATTTCGATTTCGGTATCAATATAGCATTGCGTCAAAAAATTAACGTAAGCGTCTTTCACCTTATTTTTTTTAATATATATTATTGTTTTTTAAATTAAAATGTATTAATATTTGCTATTTATAAACAAATTATAATGAGTAATAATGGACTTTTCATTGAAATTATTTTTGAAGGTTATGTCAATCAAAGACTATTTTCATAAATCAAGCACTTCTACACACCCTTAAGCCAATGATGGCATTACCCCCTGCCATCCTCTACCCCTCCTATCAAAAAAGTAAAATAATAATTATCCCCTACCCCTTTTCAATTATAAAATATATATTGAACATAACTAATTAGCTAATTAAATTGCTGTAAAATTATGCGATAAAGCTAGCTAACACCTCTATAAGGCAATCTGGATGAAGTACGATTTTTATGATATCGTCTAAGGTGAGAAGCGAGTGACATTTGATTTCAGTGAAGGCATTCTTACCTTCCGTACAAATGGCCAGTAGATGCACCAGCGATATATGATAAACCAAAGGTTCTAAGCTTTTGTCAACTGGTGTAGTTATACATTTTTTTGCTTGATTCCAATGGAGATCATTCGTTTCCCCTAGCTCCACTTGCGAGGAAGCGCTGTAACGTTTCATCATGCTAACCAGGGTTTTAAATGACTGATCGTCGTTATAAAAAACGAGAACATCTTCTCCCACATTTTCTAACTTTCATTTTTTAAGAATAAATAATATAAATGTAAATGAATTTTTTTTAGAGTAAGAAAATTAAAAATTGTACTAAAATCTTCAACGGGCTAACATTTTTTTCTAGAAATTTTGACAGGGAGGGATAAGACCTAAAAAGGGGAGGGGGGCGAGTGTTTAATTTATCATCTAAATTAATTATGATAATTTGAAAGATTGTGCGAGAAACAATTTTGCTATTTGCAAAAGCTACCGTTATAGAAATAAGTATACCTAAGAAAAAGTGTAATAAATTGGTAGAATGCTTTAGGCGATAATAATATAAAATTTATTGGATACGGGAATTTTGAAGGTTAATTGTATTAATGTATATCACCTTAACTGTATCTTATTTTCAGTCGAGTTATTCTTTTAAAGAATAACATTTTCTTTTAGAATCAAAAAAAAAAGAAAGATATTCAGAATTATTTCTTAATTTAAAAAAAAATTAAGAACACTTAGGATGCACTAAAAAAAAGAACTTTCTAAGAATTTTTTTTCTATATACAACTTTTATTTAAAAATTCTCTTCCAAAATAAGAACAAAAATTAAGAGTGGCAAAGTCACCGCTTTAAACTTTACCCATTTTTAGAGATAATTTTTAAAATTTCGTATTTTATACCTCGGTGGTTACTATATCCTGGCATTTCCTAATGTATTGACCTTCCGCTTTAACTATACATTCCAAAAATTTTAAATAATCCGGGATTCTTCCCTGGGTCTGTATGTTGTTTATAAAGTGTTCAACTAAAGTATCGGTTATTTCGTTACACAGAACTATGTTATCCTTAAATATACTCCTCATAGTTTGAGCTTCTAATACCTTTGTATATATTATAAAAAAAATTAAAAATTTTAATATAAGCTCACTACTATGTTAAATTTCTGATTAGAGACCAACAATCCTGAACCCGAATCTGATAAGGTTCGATTGAAAGTTTAATCGTTTTATAACAGTGGGAGGGGGGGGGGGTTAATTTTAAAAACATCCGAAGGTCGCTGTTCTAGTAATACCTAATATTAGTATATATGTCGTAGGATATCCTGGCATCTTTAATATGTCAATCATTTTTTTTCATATTTAAAAGACTTTATTTCAGAATCGTATTCTCACGTCGTGTACCATATGAATTTTAAACAATCGTGTCCTTATTTTATGACAAATTTATGCATAATCTTACAATCATGGGCAAAATCAAGTTATTTAATAAATGATTGACATTTATAAGATGCCAGTATATCCAGGGTAATTTATGTAAAAACGATTATACCAATCCTACAATTTAATCTAGAAAAGATTTATACGACAGTAATCTATTTGTAAAAAAAAAATATTTCGGGTTTACGCCTGGTGTCATGAATAAATCTATATGTTTGTGGAGAATCGATTGATTAGTCTTGTTTGCCAGGCAAAAATTTTGCAAGAATTTATGAGCCTCGTGTATAATATCTATCATTTGCTTATCATTTTTCTAAAATGAATGATTAAAAAAAAAAGAGTGTTAATAATGGCATTCGAGCTAATCACTAATTCGTGATTCTTTGACTGCATGTTTAATATATTATCTTGTAATCATTTTGCTTCTTGCTTAGAATTTTGTAACGCAGGTGACTAGAGTCTGACCTTTTTTTCTTTGAAAAGTAATTTGAGCAATTGATAAATCTAATACATCCGAGTTGTTGATTTGTATAATTTTAATTTCTCTAATAATTTTTTTTGTATGGATATACTAGCCAAATCTTCTACGATAGGATTATCATTCAAGGTATATATTTATTCCTGTAAACATGTGTTTCTGTTGTTTAAATTTGATTCCAGATTTTCCTTTTCAGATTTTCTTCATCCCTTAATCTTTGATGAAAATTGATTGTTTCAACTATTTGACCATAAGAGGTCTTGATGTTAGAATGTTTTTTACCTTGGTCAATACATTAAAATTTGATGTGTCTATGACATTTTTATTTTTACTTCTGAAAATGGTTGATCCTCTAGTTTTATTAATAGTATTTCTTAACAAAACAGTTTGCATATTGGTCTCTTTATATTTGAATTCATTCTTAAGTTTATCTATTGCAGCAATCAAAAATTCCGCGCTTGCTTAAATAGGATTATATCTAATAAACGAGATTCAACTAATAAAATTTCCAGCATTTTATAAATATAAAATTCTAAAAATTAAGAATGACAAATATGAAGAGATAAATATACAAACTGTTCAGTTAAAAAATTCTATTAAAAAAACTTGAAGATCAATTATTTTCAAGAGTAGAAATAAAAAATGTCATACCTAATTTTAAAGTAATGACCAAGATCAAAACCTCTTTATTTGATAGTCAAACAATTGAACCAATCAATTTTCATCAAAGATTAAGGGATGAGGAAAGATCCGAAAAGGAAATTATTGAATCAAATTTAAACAAAGGTAACAACATTGTTTACAAGAATCAATATATACTTTGAATGATAGTCCTACCTAAAAGATTTGCCCATTATATCCATGTCAAAATAAATGTAATTATAGAATAAATCAAAACGATTTATAAATAATACTATAAAATAAGGGCAAAAAAACAACGGCGTTACTTTTACAAGAAAGATCAAGTTATTATTTTCTTTTAAAATAAAAGAAAATAAAAAGAGTAACAGCATCGTAAAAGTTTTATTTATTTAAGTACTCATTATAAACCGCTTAGTAGTCAGAGTTGTTATAATAATAACAATAATAAAATAATTAAACCTTATCATACGGAATTTGTAACAGTTCCAATACAACATTGTGAACAGCTAAATTTCTCAAAAGTCTTTGTTCCCCTTTTTGAGGTATAATTCCATTCGATCTTTTGACACAAATATCGGAGAATCTTTTCAAAATTTCTTTAACAGTTTCATAGTTTCCATTACAAGTATGATGAGTGTCAGAGAAAGTTTTCTCGACCAAAGAAAATCGCCTCTTTGAAAAAAAAAAAATTGAAATTCTATTTAATTTTATAGCATCATGGAAGTCATGAAACAGATATCTCTCAGAGAAAAATAGCGCCCGACTTGAACTAGTCCTACATACTTGTCCTTCACGATAGCACATTTAAAATATTTTGGGGAATAAATCCCATTTCAAATTGGTAAGGAATCAAAGTAAACAACTTTCAAAATTTATAAATATTACTAAAAGAGAGAGATAAAAACTCGAAAGAATAGATATTATATTTTCTAAAAACCCCCAACAGGATATGGCTCTAACTAAATTTTAACAGACATAAAGTGAGGTAAATATACAGGTATTATTAGTAAAGTATAATACTACAGTACCTTTCAGGGCACCGGTGGAAAGATTTACGGATAAACGGTGATGGGAAAATTTATATTTTGACAAAAAACCTTCAATTTTTACATTATGCATACTTTTAATTTAATGGAAGGGATCTCTTCTTTGATTTTAAATCTAATTTTATTATATATATCTCTATATACAAAAATCTTGTCATTATGTACATTTTTTTATAATAGCGAATTTACATGTTGTCAAAGTACATATGTCCTTTACAATTTCATTTTGCGTTACCGATTTTTTTTATCTTTTATTACACTGACCTTTTACACTAAAAAAAATAATATTCAATTTTAATCTTAATTTGGTCATATTTAACATTTCCCCTTCTTTTTAAATTTCTCCCTCCGAAAGCTCGAGTGTTCTTTCCTATCATCGAGAGTACATCGTTAAGATCGATCCATTTCCTAGATAACCAATTTTGTGCTTTTGTTGTCAAATCCTTTATATTGGCTTGTTATTTCCTTCGATCTATCGTGTTTTTATTTCGTCTAATGGTTTACCTTTAAAAAAAACTTTATTTATAATTATAAATCTTTTTAGGTCTCAAAAAATATTTTCGCTCTTGATCTTGACTTCGGGCTTGAACTTGACCTTGATCTGATTTTGAACTTGAAACTCATTTTGTATTTTATCTTGAACTTGATTTTCATTTTGTTCTCTATCTCCAATTCTTCCCCCTCTAAAATTTGGTGTTTTATATGGCGAGTCGTCTTTTTCGAGTATATATGTTGATCTTTTCTTTATTTGATCTAAATGTCTTCTGATGATTTTATTTCCGTTGTCTATTTTGTATGATAAATTTCCTTTATGTGTTATTATTCCTTTGTCCCAAATGTTTTTCTTAAACGTTTTGTACCAAATTTTATCTCCTTTTTCTATAGTTCTATTTGTTGATATTTTGCGATTAATTTCGTTGTTTATGTCTATGTTTAGTTTAACTAAGTCCCATTTTGTTCTAATATCTCTTGAAAACATTAATTTGTTCGGAGTTATATTGGTTGTAGCGTTAGGTGTGTTTCAATAATTAAACAAAAATTTTTCCAAAGCTATGTCTAAATCTATTTTTTTGTTGGTTTTCATGTTCCTTATCATGTTCATTTTCATTGATCTTATCATTCTTTCACATTGTCCATTTGATTGTTGATGATGTGGAGCTGCAAGTATGTGCTTGATACCATGATCTTCACAGAATTTTTTAAACAAATAACTTGTGAAGTTCGTTCCATTATCGGTTACGATTATGTGTGGTATTCCAAATAAGCTAATTATTTTCATTAATTCTATTACTGTCAATTCTGTTGTTATATTTTTTATTCTCTTGATTATGGGAAATTTTCTATAAGCATCGACGATTACCATGTAATTATTGTCTTCAAATTGAGCTATATCTATGTGTATTCTTTCGAAATATTTCGTAGCTGTTTGCCATGGATTTTGTATGTTGTGTGGATTATTGGCCCATTTGTTGCATGTTTCACAATTTTTTATTTCTTGATCAATTTCGGTATTGATTTCAGGCCACCATACATAATCTCTTGCTAACAATTTGGTTTTGCCAGCTCCTAAATGTCCTTTATAAAGTTCCTCTAATATCTCTTTTCTCATTTTGTGTGGTATGATGATTCGGCTCTCTTTAAAAAGACAATCTTTTATCAAACTTATTTCTACTTCCATATTTTTGTATGTTTTATTCTTTATGTATTTTCCATTCCTGATGTTATTTATTATTTCCATTAATTCCTTATCATTATTTGTTTCTTTCGATATTCTTTTGAAGTTTAGTGGTATATCCCATAAATTTTTATTTACATCCTCATTTTCTATATTTTGTAAGTGTCTTCGGAGTTAATTTGTGGTAATCTAGATAAGCAATCTGGTACTATATTGTATTTTCCCGGTCTGTGAATTATTGTAAAATCATGAGCTCCCATTGCTAAGTTCCATTTATGAAGTCTCATTGATATCGTATTGTTATCTTTTAATCCCTTAGTAAATAATATATGAGTGGTTTGTGATCGGTGTAGATTTTAAAGTTGGTGCCTATTAAGTATTCCTGAAATTTTTTTTGCATATATTATTGCTAATGCTTCTCTTTCGATGTTCGTATAATTTATTTCCGCTTTTGCTATGCCTATTGGTAATTCTGGATTATAGAAATTTAATGGTGGCAGCGTCGTTCCATAGAGCCAGATATATGATTATTTTTTTAACACCGTCCAAATTCAGATTTATAAAAAAATATACCATACATACATCAAACAAATTACGTTCACGTCGCTTATTATGACGATATTGAAGACATGCAAGAGGTTTACGACTCAATAAATGGTCAACAAGCCGAAGATGATGAAGGAAACAAATTTATTATAAATGCTAAAAGATATGAAAAATTTTAATCATTATAGAACAATTATTGTAAATTATATAAATTAAATAAAGGTAACAATAAAATATTTTATAAATTTATCATGTCAAAATTTATCAAATGTAAAAAGTAATGTAGAATATCCTATATTTCAACAACAATATAGATACATACATTAAAAAGTTTGAAAATTTATTAAAGGACACGCAGGTTCCCGAGGCAGAATAGGATAATGCATTCATTCAAAGATTACCAGAAGAAGACTATTTGAACCTGGAATCAGTTTGCTTTCCATCTGATTACAACGATTTGAAAACTTTACTGGAAAAATACAGGCTAATACATCCCGATAAACCAATAGACACGTACAAAACGGAATTTAACGCAGCCGTTCAAAATAAAGGGGAAACATTCGGTAAATGGGTAACTAGACTATGTAAGTTGAATAATAAATGCAATTTTAAGGATCAAGAGAGAATAATTGAGAAGATAAAAATATCGTCAAGTAATAAAAAAAATCGGGAGCAGATATCGAAATTAGAAAATATAACTATTACAGACATATTAAGAATTGGGAGAGAGATAAATGATGGGGATGATTATGAAAATATAAATATTAAAATGGATAATATAAAAATAGAAGGTGAAGCAGCATCAACTTCGACGATAAAATAATAGAACCGGTGGATGATGTGCGATGGGCAAGTCCACTCACACCAGTTTTCAAAAAAGATGGTTCGCTAAGACTCTGTGCAGATTAAAAATACGATAAATCCAGCATTGGAAGATTTTAAATAACCTATACCACATATCAACGACTTGATTGCAAAATTATCTAAAAGGAAGAAGTTTTCAAAAATAGACTTCATGCAAGCGTTCCTTCAGATCCCTATACACAAAACATCGCGTGATTTACTTACTATATCGACACACAAAGGATATTACAGATTTACAAGACTACCATTCAGATTAAAAACTTCATCGGCAATTTTTCAACAATCAATGAATGGACAAAATATTTGGTGATATGAAAAATGTTATTTTCTACATTGATGATTTATTAATCACGGGTGATAACGATCAAGATCATTTAAACAATTTAAAAAAAGTTTTTGACCAAATTTCCAAATATGGGCTATACCAAATTTCGACAAAAGTACATTTTTCAAAAAAGAAATACGTTTTTTAGGACATGATATAGATGATAAAGGTATTCATGCAAACGGAGACAAAATCAAAGCAATTACAAACATGCCTACACCAACAAACAAAGAGGAATTAGCAACATTTCTGGGCATGGGCAGTTATTACCGAAAATTTTTACATAACTTCGCAGACAAAGCAGATTCCTTGTACAAAATAGTCAACAAAGATAAATGGATATGGGAAGAAACACATCAAAAGAGTTTCGATGATATAAAAGAATTAATAAGCTCTCCGCCAACATTAAATCCTCGGAGGCGTGGGTTCGAATCCCACCGCTGCCACCATTTTAATTTAATGAAAGGAAACGGGAGATCTCTTCTTTGATTTTAATAATCGTTGTAATCAGATGGAACGCAAATGGATTCCAGGTCCAAATAGTCTTCTTCTAGTAATCTTTGAATGAACGCATTAGCCTTTTCTGCCTCGGGAACCTGCGTGTCCTTTAATAAATTTTCAAACTTTTTAATGTATGTATCTATATTGTTGTTGAATGTAGGATATTCTACATTACTTTTTACATTTGATAACGATTTTGTCATGATAAATTTATAAAATATTTTATTGTTACCTTTATTTAATTTATATAATTTACAATAATTGTTCTATAATGATTAAAATTTTTCATATCTTTTAGCATTTATAATAAATTTGTTTCCTTCATCATCTTCGGCTTGTTGACCATTTATTGAGTCGTAAACCTCTTGCATGTCTTCAATATCGTCATAATCAACGTGAACGTAATTTGTTTGATGTATCTATGGTATATTTTTTATAAATCTGATAGTATATTTGGACGGTGTTAAAAAAATAATCATATATCTGGCTCTTTGGAACGACGCTACCACCATTTTAATTTAACCCTTCAATACTCCGGTGGGGTATATGAAACCCCAGGCATGCTAGAAATGATATTGCATATAAACAGTTAAATATTATTATCTGGATTTTTCAGTAGCTTCATTAAATATATCTTAGAATCTATATTCCAAATTTCATACATTTCGGTTGAGTAGTTTTTAAGAAATAAGCATTTTGTGACTGATTGGGGTTTGTGAGACCCCACCAGAGTAAATTTGTATGTTCTTTTTATATTTGAATGTATTAGTGTAATTTTTTTTTTATATTGAAGAATAAAGATCCAAGTTATGAATTATCATGATTATATGATATATAAGTTAATTTTTTTATTTAATATTTTAAATTTAAAAAAAGTTAGCTTTTTTTAGAAAATTTTGGGACAAATTATATTACTCCTCATCATTTTTAATTTAAACTTAAGAAATAAAAATAAATAATTATTTTATCAGTTTTAAGGTTAGTTCTATCTTATATCCAAATATTAAATCTAAATAATGAATATAACTGGAGATATATGCATTTGAAATTGGGGTTTATTAAACCCCACCCGAGTATTGAAGGGTTAATGGAAGGCAACGGGAGATCTCTTCTTTGATTTTAAATCTAATTTTATTATATATAACTATATACAAAAATCTTGTCATTATGTACATTTTTTTATAATAGCGAATTTACATGTTAACAAAGTACATATGTCCTTTACAATTTCATTTTGCGTTACCGATTATTTGTATCTTTTATTACACTGACCTTTTAAACTAAAAAAAATAATATTCAATTTTAATCTTAATTTAGTCATATTTAACACATACCTTACATGATTATAACAAAAACATTATCTTAAATGTGTCTTGGAAATTCTGTATCTATATCTAAATACATTTTTAGGTTTATGCATATAGATTGCGTACATGTTAAAATAAAAGTTCAGTGAAGATGTATAGATAAGAAGCAATTGTTATAATCGTTATTTTTAAAGTCCCTAACCCTAACCCTAGAATTTTAATTGGTTAAAATATATTGTAAAAATGTCAGAGTTGTTAAAGTAGCGCGCTATCTTTTTTGGTAGCTATAGCTAATAGCCGCTACTTTTTTTTGAATTATTTAATTTTTTAGCGCGCTACTTTAAAAAAATATAATGAATGTAAGTATAAACATGAAAATTTAAATATAATATCATAATTAATTATAATTTTTATAATTTATTATTTAATTTTGAAATTTAAATTTATTTTCAATTTTTAATTTATATTTTCAATCTGTGTTAATAATCTAAAATGGCATCACCCATGGATATCCAAATCCTTGAAAGTGATTCGGACATGGAAGATTCAATGTAAGGAAATATACTTAATAACTCTAATAACGATTTCCCATTCCCTATATTTGAAAATTTTTTTAAATAAATATTAAAACAAAATCTGGATTCAAATTCCTGTGCTTAAAATTTAAAAAAAATATATCATCAAATCAATTGAGTAGCTATAACCTGAAGAAACACCTAAAGGTAAATTGTTATTTTTACATTATAATATTATTTATTTTATTAGACTGTTCACGCCAATTGCTATAAGGAAATAGAGAAACATATAAAAAATTTTGGTATAGGAGAATCTTCATTCAAAAAGACAAATACTATCCAAACCAAATTAACTGATAATAAACATGCCAATATTTCACAAAAATTGGCTGATAAAGTAATTGTTGATTTTATTATTGACACAGTTCAGCCATTGTCCTTGGTTGATAATCCATCATTTACTATGATGATTAAAACGTTATCCCCTGGCACAACAGTTTTATGTCGCCAGAAACTTATGAATAAAATAGCCGACAACTTCAAAGTGATGAAAGATGCTCTAATAGTAGAGTTATCAGATATATCTTATGTATGTACCACGGCAGATAGTTGGACACATAACAGAAGGTAAAAACTTATTTGTATTTATAAATTGATCTGATTAAATATTTTTAGAACTTATTTGGTAATCACAGGCCATTGGTTAGACCCTAGGACTTTAAAAAGAAGATCTGTAGCCTTAGCCCTTAAAAGGATTATAGGATGCCAGACATATGACGTACTTGCAAATAAAATTATTGACATCCATAAGTCTTTTAGGATTCATAATAAAGTTTGCAAGATGGTTACTGATAATGGGTCTAACTACCTGAAGGCATTTAGGTTATATCACAAATTTATTTATAATATTTATTTTAAGTTATGATTTTTTGGGCAGTAAATTAATCAGAATGGAATGGTTATTATTTAATCTATAAAATATTTAGTATTTTAATATTTCACATTATTTATAGAATTTTTATTAACTAAATACACACATATTTTAGTAATATTATGATTATCATAATTTATATCAAATTATAAATAAAATTAGTGAAATTAACTAATAAAATATAAAACAGAGGTGGATTATTTCATTAATTTTTATTGTACAATGTAATGGCATTGAGCTAATCTAACATTTAATAAGATATTGTTATTGAATATTTCATAGATGATTAGATTTTTACTATATTTATTTCTTATTGATTAATTGCCATCAATTTATATACAGTACAGGGAATTCATTCAATGTATTCATTTGATAAAATATTTTTACTTAGTTACATTATAATTCCTGAGGTTCAAAATTTAGAATACTAAGAAATGATTTTTCCACACCATTTTTGATAAATATTACTAGACATTTCTATTAAAACTGGATGAATAATTTAATTTGTCCTATTTAATATGAATATAAAATATTTGGTGAGGATAATGCTGAAGATGAGATACAGAATGATTGTCAACATGTATTGGAAGAGGAGGAAATAGGTGTTGATGCCAATGATATTAATGAGATCTTAGAAGAAGGTTTAAATTATTTTATAATACAAGTTAATCTAATCAATATTCTATAGGATCTTCAACTAACTCCACAATGTTACCCAGCCATCAGAGATGCTCCTGTCATAATTTAAATTTGATAGCAACAGTAGATGCTGAAGGAGCTTTAAATGATGAAGATTTTAAAAGGGTGACAAGATCGACATTTTATAAATGTCAAATTTTATGGAATAAGCAGAACAAATCTCCTAAAAGTTCTGACATGTTTAAAAAAAAATTAGGGAGGTATTTATTAATCCCTAATCGTACAAGATCTGAAGGAAAGAAGATTAGAGATTAATTATCTCTGTGATCTTGTTGAAATTGAATATATTAACGATGAAGAGCATACTTTTATAAAAGAGTATACAGAAGTAATTCTAATTAATAATGATTCATTTCCATATCAAATATTTATTATATTGCTTATTTTTTTATAATCTAAACTAACTATATTTTTATATTTATAAATGTTGATTTTTATATATTATTTATTATACATTTACATTATAGGCAAAAAAAAAATAAAAAAAATTTGTTTCATTTGTTTCTAAATTTTTTTTTATAAAAAGTAGCTTAAAAGTAGCTAATAGCGCGCTACTTTTTTTGACAAATAGCGAAAGCGGTAGTGCGCTACTTTTTTTGAGAAATAGCTATAGCGGTAGCACGCTACTTTTAAAAATAGCGTTTAACAACTCTGAAAAATGTCAAATTTAAATTTCATGAAGATGTAGGAAAGTGACAATTTACAACTTATAATACCCATTTGCGTCAAAAAAATTTAATAAACTTCAAAAATAACGATTATGACAATTGTTTCTAATCTAGGGTACATCTTCACTAATATTTTATTTAAACATTAGCAATATTTATTTTAGCCCATTTACAACAAAAAAATTTTAAAAACTTTAAAAATAACGATTATGACGTATTTAGATTTATTGGGAAAGTATCTTTTAACAACCTTGACATGCTATTAAATTTTGCTTTTGATTTTAATGTGAAATAAATATAAAATTAATTAATTTCTTCTAATTAATTAAAAACTATCTGTATCAAATTAGTAACTAATGCAAAAGATTGGTATCTAAATATCAGAGACCTGCAGATGTACCATTAGCAAGATCGGGCCCGGATTTTTTTTCAAAATTTTTTTTCGGCCCGGCCCGGATTTTTTAAAATATATCATATTTATTTTAAATTTTTATGGCTAATAATGGCGATTTAAAATATTTGGTTTTAAAATATACAGCCCTGCCCGAGTATTTTTTTGAAAAAAAATTCAGGTCCCGCCCGGGTCTTTAAAAAATATTTCAAGCCAGGCCCGGTATATTTAAAAAAAATTAAAATATGGCCGAGCCCGTGCACCTGGGCTTAGAGCCGGGCCTGCAGGTCTCTGCAAAGTATAAGGTGACGAGGAAAAATCGAATTATAAGGCAACCTCTGAAAGTCTCAATTCTTCCTCATCAAAAGCATTGTTACCCATCCTATGTTTTAATTGTAGTCTAGGTAGCAGGGAAGAGGAAATCATTTTACGAGGTGTCGATGTTACAACTTTTAACTCCCCGTTCGCTACTTTATTTTCGCGATTCGTTTCATCAATATTTGGTATATCGCCTGATGATTTTTCTAATATGTCGTCACTCCTGTAAATAGGATCGTTGATTTGGAGAGTATTTGATAAAAATGTGTCGGTTTGGTTAATATCCTGTATCGATGGTGATTTATTGACCCATAATTCAGATTTTTCTACTAGCAACCGTAATTCGTCCAAATCGGATTTGAGTTTCTTGTAATTTTCGATTTCCGTTGAAGTTATAAGCAATTGTACCTGTAACATTATTATTTAGTTGTTAATGCGCAAATGTGCGAATAAAGATTTAGCATTTTGACTTTTGTAATAAGCAACGCGGTAGGTAAATAGCGTATTTTTTGTTAAATTATTTTAGAAGCATTATTATCCTAACCCATACAAGATGATATTATGTGTTGCAGGGGGGGGGAAGAGAGAGGGGGATAACGCAGACAAGATAAAGATTTTTATAACTAACATTATACTTTTGAAGAAAATAATCACCTTTCATTCACGGTTAACGCGAATTAGCTGAAAAGTATATAAAAATACAGTATATTTTGTAAACTTCGCAGAATATTTTATACCTCATAGCGAATTCGTGCTAACTATGAATGCAGGGTCACTCCGCCAACGCATATATGTGCTAGGGTTTGTCTATATTTATAAAATTGGGCGGATTTCTTTTTATTTTACATGAAAATAAATAATTCCCATTTAAATGTGAATCCATTTACCGATATCGTTTGCACGTTGATTAAAATTATTAACATTTATAAAGTTCCAAATAATTTTTTTTTTAGTTTAAATAGAATTGCTAATAGAAAAATAATTTTTATGGTAATTATAACCTGTTTCAAAGCGACTATAAATTCATGACGTTGACTAAAATGCCGAAATAACAATTGCAAAGCACCCGATACTAGGGAAGCATAATCGTGCATTATAAAAAATAATAGCATTCTAAGGAAGGAACAAGATTCTTGGTTATTCAAATCGCCTTTGGAAAATCTTTATTAATATAATTTATACAAATAAATAAATTTTATCAAAGAATATTGTGGAAATTTTTATTTTATAAAAAATACTATTCTGATTGATTCATTGATAAGAATTATTTTCTCTTTTTAAACAACAACTAAGATGTGGAAAAATAATTAATATAATAATACAGCTATGTACAAATAATAATTCTAAGCAGCATGATATCTTTAGTAAATACAAATGTAATAAAACTAGAAAATATTTTAATTATAACTATCTAGCACCGATTTTAAACCTTAAAGTAAACTGGTCTTCTGCCCATAATAAATTTAAAGCTTTTATTTGAATATATATTGTATAATATATGCATCTTACTTTACTCTCTCATTTAACTTTTGATGTAATTGTTATATATTAAGTTATTTTACAGTGATTAAAACTGTGAGGGTCAGTTCAATTTTTAGTATTTCCAAAATTATGAAAGAAAAAAAAAGTAATTCACTCTAAAATTTGCAAAAATATGGAAATGCATCGTATCTAATAAAAAATTCAAATATTTTCAAGTGGGCTTGAGCCCCTCCGCGCTTCCCTAACGATGCTACTGTTTTGGACCAAAATAAAATTGATATGCATTAAGTTTTAAATATTAAAGCAATAAACTTTAATAATTTAATAATGTTTTATCTATTTTATTATAACCCTATTTACAAACAAAATAAGATATAAAAATGAAATAGTAAAATATTTCCTGCCTCCTTAATATATATATATTTTTTTAAATCCGGTAAAATAAAGGCAGAATAGGAAGGTAATATTTCCTCGGGCCATGAGCCGGCCCTGCAGAACTCGAATATAATTAATAAATATAATTTTATCTGTCAAAACCAACTAATTATATTTAAAAATTTTTATTTTTTTACTTTTCACTAAATATTTCGTTAACCATATTGTCCATCAATAAATTCATAGCTATAATATAACAAAGTATATTTAGTTATCTGATTTTTTTTTTTTAAATTGATTACTATTCAAATCCTCATTTTTCTGATTATCAGGATTCATTAATGTCTCGTTTTTGATCGACATTTTCCTCCTTATAGGTATAATTTGCTCTTTAAATTTTGTTAGCAAACAAGATATTCGGTAATCCAGTCTCACGTTAAACAGAAACTAATTTAAAAAAAATAGTAAACGTGTTTTAACACTATAATATTTTTATTTATTAATAAATGACATTTGGCAATCGTGTTTATACTTTAATCCTTCAACTCACTGAGAGGAGAACGCGTTATTCGTTTTTTATAGACATGATTTAGAAAGAATTGGTTCCTAACACTTGTTTAGTTCATACCCTATAAATTTCAGGCAATTTAACTCCCAGCAAAAAAACTGGTCTTTCAAAAATGTTCTAAATTCATTTAATTTTAAAAATTCCTATATACGCGGACCTTTATACCCCACGACACATATAATACATATAAATATATAATGCCTTTGCCTTTTTAACACGATATAAATTAAACGAATCTGCTAATTAAACCTGGAATATGTCAACAATATAAAGCTTGGTTTCCATGACTAACACATCTTCTTCAATATCATTCACGTTAAACTTTTTATCCGAATTTATGGCAGCGATCGATTTCCTCTTACCTTTGTAATCAAAATAAGGGGTTTCGGTGGAATTTCCTAACACATAATTCGACATGGCCTGCTTCATTTCGGTCAAGGATCGCATAAGACGAGATGTTTTGTCTGGGTTTGCATAGGATGATATTTGAATGATAATTGTAAATTTCACTTGTTCTAATTCATTCCCTTCCACAGGGAACCTGGAATATTAGGAAAGGATACATAATATCACGGGAGGGGGGGGGGGGTGGAATCTTCGAAATACAACTGGGATGGGAAAATTATTTTATCCCAAGGAGTAGCTGGATTTAACTCGTAGTTAATTTTTTTTCGAATATATCGTATATAACGCGGGCCAGAATTGGAGTGCGTTAGCTGCACTTTTATATTTTTATATAGATGATCAAAACATAGAAATCTTTTATTTCACAATTCTTGTAATTTAACTTCTATAGTTATACAAATAAATTGACCTTTTAAATATAAATACTTTATTAATATTATTGTATGACAAATATATTAATCAAATGGTGTTGAATATTATAACCTTTTAAAATATATAAAATATAACATATAAGAGATCAGATGATTGGAATACAAAATTTTCAAAATTACTTTATTTTTATTATGTTTAAAATGTTTATATATATATATTGACTTGGAACTTTTTAAAAAAATAGTTTATTCAGATCCCATGTATAAATCATGCCCTTAAGATTTAAAAAAAATAAATAAATATATATCAGTAATAATTTAATAAATAATCGATTTGAGTAAAGAATAATTCTAGGCTCTGATAAAGAATAAATATGTTCGAATTGTCATCTTCCGAAGAGTTCATTAAATTTATGATAAATAATTTTAAATATAAGAACTATGACGTAACCCTCAATGATACTTGAAAAATGTTATTATTAATTAAACCAATAATTCCCAAAAATAGTGAAGATAAATGAATTTAAATTGTAGTAATGGTAAATTTATCAATTGTTCCATTAACATGCAAATTTAAATGATTTAATGTTTGAAAATTACATGATTTTTATTAAGTGATTTTTATAAAGTGATTTTTATAGAGTGATTTTTATAATTTTCAATTGTGCATGACAGAGTAGTGGTCACTCGATAATATTAAAGCCTTTTTTTAAAGTTTCATAAGCATGGGGAGGGTTAATTAAGACAAAAAATGGTTATGTAAATATTAGTTTTGGTACCGATTGAGTGGAACTCAATTTTTTTAAATGTCAGATAAAGCACTCCAATTTTGGGTTCTCGATACTAAGGTTATAAAGTTTTTTATGGGACTAAAAATTTAAAAGATTAAGTGCGGGAAATGCTGAAAAAAAACCGATAAAAACATTGTAAATTACAATATTACAAGGAGTCAGATCTCAAAATGATTGCGGGGAAAAAGTCTAACATAATAAGTAAATGATAAAAGATATTTACAAATATAAAAAAATATTTAAAATAAAATTATTTATTACAAATAGGTAATTCAGATAAACTTACTAGATTTAAAATTTTGCAATTGTGATTCAATACTTTCCGTTGCAGAATTTTCATCTAACAAGGATAACAAATTTTTCGTAAGTCTTAGCAAATTGGTATAATTGTAAAATCCAAAATATATCAAATTTTTAGCCAGCTTGACCACCTATAAATGATATTTAAAAAATATGAAAACGCATTTATTATTTTTATACCTCGAACGTCATTTTATTTTTATCTTTGTCCGTGAAAGGTTTAGGTAACAAAAAAATGTCGCTAAGGTAATTCTCCACGAATTTCATAGTGGCTTCGAATTTTGAATCGTTGTTTTGGTGATTTTCGGGTAAAGATAAAGCATCGTAACTTTCAAAAAAAAAGATGGAGAAAAATAAAACATAGTCCTTAGATTTAATCAACAAGTGTTCTAAGTTCTGGTTCTAAATTGTGTTTTAATAATAAATACTCAATTTCGAACAATATACCGAATAGTTGAAATTTTGTTAGAACCGGATACTGGTTGGGATTCTTTTTATACGGAATTCTGGCATTTTAAGTGATGGAATTTGGTCCCGGCTCTTAGATTTGTCTCTATTCCAAACTCTGGGTTTATAGAGCGTGATTAAGGACAATTTTATTTTTAAATATGACTTTTAGAAATACCCTAGAAAGGGCAGTTACAAAAATAATGAAACTTGAAAATCATTAAGTCCCTTACTCCTCTATATTTTCGCTGGCACGGTCGGCATCAGACCATAACCTGGCATATTTGATGGGATTAACCACGTCTTGGGGGTCTCTGTCGACGTGAATATTTAGGAGCAAACGACAAAATGAAGCTCTCAAATTGTAGGGCAAAATTTCGTCTTTCATACACCTTTTTTAGAGTAATAAAAAAAGGATAGATATATAGGGGAGAAGGGGCATGACTGACCATAATTTTATCTTTGTCAGCTAAACGGGGTTAATAATTGGGTTTATTCAAAATAATTTAATATAAGTGTAGCCCAATATTTAATTTATATAGTCAAATTTGAACCCTATAACGTGAGTATTTGAGATGAGTTTGCATTTGGAACCAGTCAACACCTGCTATACTTTGAGTAGCCATATAAATATATATATATACTGTATTATTTGGTCTTAAAGGATTTCCAATCTAAATATGAAATATTACAATGCAAAATATGTGTATACGGAGCTAACGTCAGTATAATTTAAATATTTAATTTAATTAATATTATCTCAGTTAATCATTAGGCTCATCTAATTTATTATTTTTTTAATCGGGATCTTGATTACATATATGCAAGCTAAACATGCTAATTTGAATATAAATGTAACAACCACACTTATATATTTAATAATATTTTTTTAAGGCAACTCAACACCTGGCCAGGTAAAATTTTCCTAAGTTTTATTACTAAATACCTTTATTGTATAATTCCAAAAAAAATTATGAATGATCTTAAATGTATAAGAATAATATTTACATAAAATATCAATAATTTGATTGGGTAATTTTTTTATCGAATCAAAAAAAAAATATAATGTGATAATTTTAGAAAGAGGTAAAACAATTTTTTAATATTGGAGACTCAAAACCAATTTTGAGAAAAAATGTTTCATAAGATAAAAGATTAAAGGTGGGTGGCCAGTCTATGCCGAAGGTCGTTTTAGCAACTTCTTTACTATACATTTATTTTAAAAAAATATATAAATATCATCAAAATAAATTTGACACTTTGATTGTATGTATGACGTATTGGGATATTTAATCTATGGAGTACTGGGAATCTTTCAATTTTAAGTCATTCACCGACGATTTATGAAAAAAAAAGGATTTGATCGGAAATGTATTCCAAGCGTGTATATCCAAATCGTAAATTTCAGATTTCAAGGGGAACTTTTGAACTACTCTTTCATATAGATTTTTCATAAACATTTTTAAAAAGAATAAGCAAAAGTTCGTGGCAAAAATTGTCCGAAATTAATTGAGTAGATACTCTACAGCTGGAATATATTCCCGGCCAATAAAAATTGCCCTCAATAAATTAAATGATTTCTCATAGAAAATTTACTAGGTGTTATATATATATGCTATAAAATGAAAGAAATTTTTTTTACGAGAATAGTGACAAATAATATGTAATAATTAATTCACATTAACGGCAAAAAAGATTATGAATTGCGTGTTAAAAACGGGTATACTAACTTAAGTAACAAATCGATCGTCATTTGATTCGTTAGGTAATCGATAGCCAAGTATTGTCTGTCTAGACACATATTCGAGAAAAGGTCTAATTGATACCTAATAAATAAATTTAAAAAAAATCATCTTGACATCCATATTTTAGATGACATTGACAGACACATGTATACTGTATAAAATTTAATACATTTTTTTTTATAGATGATACAACATATTGGGGCAAATTTTCTTAAAATTTACCTATAATATTTCAATATTTTAGCGTCTTCTTTGTCATCTTTGGCTCCTTTAGCTAATTCTTTTAAACTTTTCATATTTTTACGATTGTTCCAAAATAACATAACCTACATATTAAAAAAATAACTCTTTTTTATTTAGTTTAAAAAAAAAAATACTTCGTCGTTTTCTATGATTTTCTGAGTTATCGTCTCATTTTTATCTTCAGGATTTAACGGTTCGGCGATCGAATGATTTTTAACCAGCACAGATTCGTAGAGGATATCACTTTTTTTCGGGTCCAACATGCATTTGCATATCATTTCTTGCGTTATCGGTATCGCTATTTGATTAGAGACGCATAAATCTGATAGATACTCTAAAAATCTGTAAAAAAAGAAATGATTTCAAAGCATTTTGGGGTTTTAAAACAAAAAAAAATTCGAAAATAATTTTTGTAGACAATAAGAAGGCTTTTCAAACCTGCATTCTTTTTTTGACCTCAAAAGATTGACAAATGTTTCGACTTCCTTGTATTTAATGTGCTTTTCCAATAATTTTCGATTGTTGTGCAATAAAGCGGTAATAGTTTCTTCGGCTAAAACATCATACCCGATTTGTTTTTGCATGAAAGAAAACTGCCTAGCCACGTATTCCTTTATGAAAGATAGAGGAAAAAAAGATATTGAAATTTACGTTTCATTTTGGGGCAGAATGTAAATTGACCCTTTTATTAATCATCATATATAAAACATATATGACATGTCAAATCATTTTAAATGGCTTTCGTGGCGCCGCTAGCTCCTTTTACATAGGTGTGCTAAAGCATGCTCAAAACATTTTCTTGGGGGAGAGGATTTATAATTAAATGTATTCAAAAAAAATGGTAAAGAACAAAATAAGAATTTATACATTTTTATTATAATTCATATATCAAATACATTCAAGGCCGTCCTATGGCTTATCATAAGTTACGCATTCCATAAGGATGGCACAAAAAGTGGCAAAAAGAGTAGCCAATCGTTAATCATAAATTAAAATGAATTAAGTTAAATCATGTTTTAGACTGACATGTCTAAAGTCTAAGGAAGCATCTTTTATTGTGGTTTTCAGAAAAATGTAAATTCTTGACTATGGGATGCTAAATATTTTAGGGACGAAACTGAAGGTTATCATTTATAATAATAATGTAAATCTTATATGCTATAATCGCATTTTATTTACATCATTGTTTCTCCTGACCCTTAGATTTGCTTAAATATGGCTTTATTCTTTTGAGAGCAGAGAATGAATAAGAACACAGAAAATTTAGACTTGTCGAAACAAAAAATTAGGAGTCGTAGATGGTAAAAAAAATATTAAAGGCGTGCCAAATTTTCTTATCGCTTTGGCACACCGCCAGCGGCGCTAAATCATCATATAACTTAAATAAAAAAAAATTAAGAAGTATAACCGGGTGACTCAAAAAAAAATTGGCGTTTTTGAAATCTCTAAAACAAGTTATTTCTTTTTTTAAAAAAAATGATTTTTCATATTTTATCAAAGAAATATATTAGCTTATATCTTTAGATATTTGTTTTAAAACTTTTTTTATTAAATTGAAATCATAAATGCTATGATTTAACTAAAAATATCAATGTTTTAAAATCTCTACAACTCTAAAAAAAAATGAAAGAAAGAATAAGCTAGACGGGTTCCCATTCGGTTGGACCATAAATCGGACCCTTACCTCGTTTCAAAATATTTCCTAATCATAGAGTTATAACGCAAAACACGAGTCTAATTTGAGATCCTTGTATATAAATATTTCTTATTTAAGTTAATCCATTAATTTAGACTATAATAAAAATAATAAGTATATTTATGGTTCATGATTATTATAGCTACAGATTAGATTTTTAGAGATTATATTTCAGTTTTTTTTAAAAAAAAGAAATATTCATTGACATGTATATAAAACCTGATTTTTTCGATAGGTATGACAAGAAAATTTAATGCATCTATAACACAGACGAAATATTTGTCTCAAATTTGAATTTTTGGGATCGCTCAAATCTTCGATTTTAATGTAGGGTCCTTTACCGCCGCCCTCGCTGAAAGGGGCCTTTAATAAGTCAAATATCTATATTCATTACAAAAAAATATATATTCCTACATTACACAGTATATATATATAACTTGCTTTCTCGCTTTGGTTTCTTAAGGAACCTTTTAAATGTAATAGAATTATACAGTCTATAATATATATCACTATTAATTTCTCATAAAATATTCACATGATATCTTTTTGCAATAAAATTGATGAACTTTTCAAAATGGATATAACTATTTTATTCAAAAGGACAACTATGTGACTAAATAAAAGAAGGAGAAGCTATATAATGAAATATAGAATGATATAATTACCTCCTTTAAGACATCTTGCTCCCTAACTAATTTTTGTCTTTCACGATTGGGATTAGTCATCGTTATCTCTAATGGATCCTTACCATCGTTTTCTTGATCAGCAACGAAATTTATAATGTCGAATAAAAGCTTGAGAGCTTGTCTATTTTTTTAATAGGATGATAAAAGGAATACATAAATAATGTATATATTTATTTATAAATTCGATTGATTGCACTAAATATATCTTTTCTCCATCTTATTCTGTCTGAGCATCCACGAGGATCCAATTATGTAAATTAATTTTAAATTATATTTTTATAATTAATATGACTTATTTAAATTTATTCTAATTATTATTTAAATTTATTTTAATAATTATTTTAATTTACATTTAAAATATCACTTTTTAGCATCTATAACGTTCCTATCTCTGAAGTCTACATAGTTATGTTTTTGAATTTGAATTATCATTTAATTTTTGTTTTATTCGTCTTTACACATTGACATCTTTGATATTATATTCTGACTTGTTATCTTTTGAATATCATTTATTGTATTTTGAGTTTGAGGGCTAGGACTTTCCCCTCTTTTTTTTTGCAACTGTAGTCATCGCTATCATCTTGTGAATCTAATTTATTTTGATCTAATGATATTTTGGAGTTAGATTGATCGAATTTGAACAAAAAAGGGCGATGAAAATCTTTATATTATATTTGTCATCTTCTATTTTATTATCTCGTGTATTTTGTTTACCTTGCCACGCCCCTGCTATTCCATCGTAACGGAATCAAAAGAGATTATTGGTACCTACACTTGACGCATACTATCTGCAGTTGCGTTATAATCATTACAACCTTATAAAAGATATTGCACAATGCATCCAATAATTATCAAAAAATACAAAAGTGACAGTGCCTCACCATACCCATCCAGAATTCCATATGGTAACCCTTTCACGCTCCTATACGTTTCTTCCAGTTTGTAGAATTACGCGAGAGATTCGAATGTATAAATATTTTATTTAAGTTATCTCCAAAAATTATATCCTTTTTTATAAATTTATCGCTAGTTTATATATAAAGAAAATCTTTTATAATTTGAATGAAAAATATAAAATGGTTTTACCAAAATAAAATTAAGATCCATTCAATTTTGAATAGCCACAATAAAATATAAAATAAACTTTTTACAAAAGTAAAAAATAATCTATTATGAATATACAATAAGGTTTTTTATAAAAATAGAAACAAGAATAATATTATAAGAATTTAACTTTCAACAGATCGGGTTCCTATCTTTGCCATCAGGTGAAGGCGAGGGATTACTCGTGAAAGTATATAATAGTATAGTATTTTTTTCGGTAACATTTTTTAGATCATATGAAACTGGATGCTCTTCCAGATCAACTCATTATAGTATATGCACCAGGTATAATAATTTATTTTTTGGGCAACTATATAGAATCGAATATACAACTTAAAAATTTATTCTCTCGTATACATATAAATAAAAAATTTTAAACTTAAATATATTTAAAAATTCGGAAATTAAAGTCACAATATTTATTATACAAATATTTTATTAATAACTTTCGATTTTTTTAGGGCAAATTTAAAAAAATGGTATATGCAATATATGGTAGTATTATACAAATTTTTAAAAAAAATGTTTTTTGTTAATAGACCTTTTATCGCTGGTTGTAGCTAAATCGTCCCTAAACTTTTTGGCCAAAATAGATAAACCGGTACTTGAATCGTTAGCGAAATCCAGATCCCTGACTTCCGTCGGAGACACTTGAACTAAAGCAAAAGCTTCTTTATCTTCACGCAATGTGGCGCAACCAACCTAAAATATTATTTTAATTGTATATAAGATGAATTAAAAATATAAGTTTGATTTATGTTTAAAAATATTTTAAAATTTTGTAAACCATAGGTACGGCGTCTCTAATATTTAGCATTTTTATAAATTCTTATTCACATTGCAAATTATAATCATAAAAAAAATGTATGAGATTATACCTTATAAAGTATATGTTTACTATCGATGTCAAGTTCTTCAAACGGTATCGTCGTACCATGAATCCAGGTATTCGAGAAAACATGATGCAATCTTACAAAAGCTGACCTTTAGAAAGATGTGATATAATATTAAATATATATGGATTTATTCTGGCCATAAAATATTTACTTAATTCCAATAAATTTATTATTTATTTTACTACACGAATTTAAAATAATATTTTAAGCATTTTTACTCTACTCTGTAACACTAAAAAAGTGGCGTGACTGTAGTTTAAGCGGGAATAGAGGGAGGGGATAGGAGAAGCAATATTTGGATGAGATTCTTAAAATAATTTTTTCAATTTTTTACGAAAAAAAATATATTTCATAATGATTAATTTGAATATTTAAAAATCTACATTAATTTTTTTTTAGTTTTTACTTGACTTTGATCATTTTAAATCAAAAATATGTTTGCTACCATTGCCCCCCCCCTCTCTTGAATTACTCTAGCTACCCATTGGATTTAAGAAAACATTTAATTTTGAGGAAGGAAATCAATTTTAGTCAAAATTCCATTATAAACATATATTTTATATAAATCATTCGTGAATTTTATGTATAATTTAAATATATAAATTAATCCAAGTTTTTTTAAAATGCTCAAAATTTAAAAGATCTTCTAATTTCTCATTCAATGATTTTGTTTTGTTAAACCCTGCCCATGATTAACAAATTATATAACCTTGGTATTAAAGTATCGTTACGAGTTATGGTAGTTGGATCTAATTCAAAAAGAGTGGTTATATCGTGATCATGTATAACGGATATTAAATAATAAACAGGATTTATGGGATCGCCTCGCAATTTTAATCGTGTTATGTCCAGGGTTGGATCTTCATCTTTCTAATTGATTTATGAAAATAAATAAATAATAATCAATATAAAATGAAGTGCGAGATCAAAGTTTTACCTATATTAGTAAACAAAGTTAGGAACCGGAAATAACGGTTCGGTTCCATGCCGGTTTATAACGAAATTAAGTGCGTTCCATTTATTTTTGAACAAATTTATATATTACAGTTTGTTCTAGGTTGGAAATTTATATTGATTTTTCTCGATTTATATAAGTTTTGAATTTTTTTTATAATTAATCATAATTATATATTTATTTAATTTGACTCCATATCTAATGAAAAATATTTTTTAAAAAAATTAAAAATTAATGAAAATAAGTTTTTGAATTTCTTCATTTATTTTATTCATTATTTTTATAAAAATTCTAATAAGAAATAATAAAACAAATTAAAGTAACTTTACATAAACACGTTATACTATATATTTTTTAAATATTAACATGCATCCAATTATAAATAATATGGCGGGGAGAGAGGGGAAATAAGATTTAATATATTAAGATAATTGATTTTATCGATCAATGGATACCTTTTATTTACCCTTGGTAATAAATAAATTAATCCTTCAATTAGATAGGTAACATATTAACAAATTACTAGTATAAAAAAATATTTAATGTTTTTTGCAACTGAAAATGTAATTATATATACTTCGGCTCCCAAATAGGCCCCGGTAGCCAAATGCTTAAATCTGAATAAACTATTCCAATGTCCAGCACCACCTTGACATGGGTCATCTGTAACCACCTGATATGTAAATATAAATGTAATAGCGCATTTAATGATTAAATCCAACTTCAACTTCCCACAAAGCCTTAGAGCTAGTAGCCGATGAAGCTGAAGCTCTTCCCGTTGTCCTTAAAAATATTTTGAATTGTTGTTTGATCTCGTCGCAGGTTAAAAACTTTTCTTGCTCGGCGTGAAATAATCTAATCACGTCTCCCTTTGATTTATCGCAAAAACAAAAGAATTATATAAACATTTTTAATAAAATTCTATACAAGATTTTAAAAAAAAATTTTGGCAATAAGAGAAATTCTCAAGAAGCTTCTAGAAATGCTAAAATTTAAGTGATGTTATGTATGATCAATTTGTGCAGTCGATCACTGATATAAAAATTAAGAGTATTCTTTTTGAGGCAGTTCTGATTGCTATCATAAATCATGTGCCATATAAAATGAGCCTATAAGCTGATTCTGATCTCCCTATTAAGTATCTATAAAAAACTACATAGCGTTGAAGATATGGCATAAAGGCCTCGAAGGCGTGAAATTTAATTTCTCGAAGAAATCTTGTATTAATTGTATTTATTTAAAGTATGATATAAAAATACAAATATAAAAACCTAAGACTTACTAACTTCATTTTAAATTTATTCTTAATACCTGATTTTGTTCAAGATTATATTTTCTCCGACTTTTTTTTTCTTTCTTAATTGGGTTAGTTTTTAATGTAAAATTTTATTTTTTACTTTAAAATCAATTGTTATCTAACTGCGAGAACAAACATTTATTTGAAATAGGGCTTGGGGTGGGGAGAAAAAATTTTAAAAATAAACGTGGTTACTTCACATTTATATTATAAAATTAACATATAGATAAACATTTAAAATTTAATTTTACAGCCAGAGTTAGTTTTAAATATTGGAAAGATGATAAGAATAAATTCTGTATATTACCCCCTTCAAAACATCTTCAATGTTCTCTTTTTGTGGCAAGAATAACATAATCTTCCAGCTGGTATTTGAATTAAGCGCGTTTACCTTTTTTTTTTAAATTACAAAATCACATAAAATAATAAGTGTCATAATTTTTTTTCCTCTTTATTATTCGAAATTATTGACTATCGGCACAACAATAATTTAGTTTAATATTCATTAAATGAAGATTCCTTCTAGTAATTTCCATATTTAAAACTCACAATTGATATTATATAATAATATTGGTTTTAGCGTTTTATTAGCCTATAAAATATTTAAGCCAATTTCTTTTTAGCGTTAGTTAGCGATCTGCCGGTAGTTGTATGTATATATAAAAAGTAAGAGTCCGCTAGCAGGGAATTTACTTTATTGGTCATATGATGAGCAAGCGCTAATATATATTATATGTTTTTTTGTACTTTGAAGCTCTAATTATAAATTATACAATTTATATTATGGAAAAGATTGAGAGAAAAACACATATACCCAGTAGGAGTAATATTACAATATGTTTAAGTTAGTGTAAAGATCAAGTTGACAACACAGATATCCAACATGGTTTATATTACAATCTAAATCATCGCTTTATACATTGGGAGCTATTTTTCAAATTTTAACCATAAAAAAAATCCCTTCTAAGTGAAGCTTAGCATACAAGATTGATATATATATATATATATATACTTCTTTACATCCCGGATTATCCAATAAATCGCAATATCCCACGTGAAGTTCTTGACTAGAATTTACGGACATCAATACTACTTTGTCACCAACCACTACCTAAATGAATTAACAAAATACTTGAAATCATCCTAATTCCAATAATTATATATTAGCCAAAATGTTATTTTTTCAACTTTATAATTTTTTTGAGCGTGTTTTAAAATTTCAAAGATCTAATATTCCGGGAAATGTATTACAGAATGTTAAGAATACCTACGCTATGAATTTCAGACAATTCTGTCTTTAATTTTTGTAATTTATAATTTATACAAGAAAAAATCTATGGAAAAACTAATATAAATTATATTCAGTGCAAAATTTTCGAAATATCACAGAATAAGTTTTCTACATAATGATAGAATGCATTTCAAACATAAATCATATTTTTAATTTTTAAAAAAGGGCTCAAAAACGAACACATACATTTTATAAAAATAATCATTTTTCTCCTAAATAAGTTAACAATTTTAGTAGTGTTGTTAAACGGCGTTTTGAGCCGACTTTTAAAAAACGGCTAACTCAATATTTCATCCGAAATATTAAGCCTGAAGATTTTGCTCATGGAAGGAACCTAGGTCTAGTATTTTTTTGGCTAAAATATTGAGGTAGATTTTTTAAAAAATCGGCGCGACAACACTAAATTTTAGAAAAAAAATATTGTAAGCTACAAATTATATATATCACCCTTTTATGCAAAAAATATTAAAGTTTTAAAATTTAAAATTTTCACATTGTCTCCAAGGGTGCGTAGTTTGTAATAAGGTTGTATATAGAACCAAGATCCTTCGTTTCCAAGTAAGTCTAAAGTTATTCGCATGGCATTTTTTTCGAGTTGCGCTGGGAGTCGTTTGTTAACCGTTAAATATTTATTGCTTTTGATATGTAAGAGCTTAAATATTTTTTTTGTATACAATTTTTTTTAAAAAAATATTCTTTTAAAAATGTTAAATAATATTTTGATGAATCTTAAATTCCAATCCCAATTGTTAATTATTTAATGTTCCTATTTTTTTTTTTTAAAAAAGTAGTTAATTTCATTCTCGGATATAATTTTTATATCTGTTACTAGAACTGTTCTTGTAAATTTATTTTTATAAGAATAATATAAAAATTGTAATATGTATTTATTAATAAGAGTATGTAAAAAAAACGATAAAAAAAAATACATATTAAAAAAAATTTAGAATATAAAAAAAATGAAATAAAAACAGCGTAAAGCAGAAAACGAGAAAATAAATTGTGTTAATTTTAAAAAATTTTTAATTAAGATATTGATAATATAGTGTTGTTGTTAAACGGCTCAATTTGGGCCATTTTCAAAAACGAATAACATAATATTTTCGCCAGATAAATGTTGCTCGAATTCCGAAATTTCGAAAATAGATGTCCAAACCCATGTGCCATCTATGACCAAAATCTTCCGGCTTGCGTAATATTTTTCTTCGGACAAAATATTGAGTTAGTCGTTTTTAAAAATCGGATCCATTGATCGATTATATTGATAAAATGAATTGCAATTAGTGTTGTTAAACGGCTAAATTTAAGCCGATTTTTAAAAATGGCTAACTCTATATTTTAGCCATAAAAATATGGTCTAAGCCTCGAGATTTCGTTAATAGATGTTCAAACCTTTGCCCCATCTATGAGCAAAATAAATCTCCCGGCTTGCGATTAGTAAAATTATCAGGATAGAAACATTAGAAACACTTCCTCTAATTCTATAACTATAAATAGTTTTTTTTAAAAAAATTTGTTTAGAGGGGTTTAAGTGCATGTTTAGATAATTTTATAAGGTTTTTAGTCCAATTAATCCTTTTTTTAATGTCCTTCTCTAAATCTCGGAGCATGGGTAAAATAGAATGAAATTCTTTAATCAGTTTCAGATACCTCTATAAAAGTAGATGTATCGAGGAGAAAACTTAAAATGGTCCTACAATTATTTAAATAGTTGAAAATTTTCTTGTAATAACAATCATTGCTTGTTCGAGCACTACAATGAAAAACTCAATACGATATTTTTCTTCTGGATCATAATATAGACTCATCCTCTTCTTCATAGGAATTGCTTTTGAATTTTTTTATACATTTTTTCTTCTAAAACCTTCTAACTCATCAGCAAGGTATTTTGCGATGATTAAGGAATCCTTAAACTATTATTCTTAAATTGACTAAAAATATATATCTTTTCTGTAAGCGTCACTACATTATTTAGGTCGATACTGTCGTTTTGCATCATCTTGCTTAAAATATTCACCCGTACCAGAACATCACAGCAGATAAGCAGAATAACCAAATAGGGGAAACTCTTTGGACAAAGAAACTGTGCTACACTTTGGGTCTTTTGTTGTTCCTGAAACATCCACTTAAGCATTTTGAATTCCCCATTAATTTTCCAATAATGGCTTCAAATGAAAAAACAACGAATATTTTAATATATATATTCTTTATTTTAAATAATAACTAATTAGTAGTCTGATATTTGAAAGAAGTTCCTTAAAAAAAAATTAAATTTGGTGGCCCTTAAAATTTTGAAAAGGCTGTCATCTACTAAGTAAGGCTCCGCGCAAGGTTGCTACTTGCCAGATATTTTTTTTAAAGTTGTAAAATTTTATCTTTTATAGGAGTTGAGATAACAAGGGAATGTAACATAAACCTCCCTAGCGGCGAAGTCAGTGTGTTGTAAACAATAACTCTAAATAAAAAGCAGAAGTTAGGAAATGTGGTTTCTATAAAATTTAGGATTTTTTTTTTTAAATCTTAAAGAATTTAATCTTAAAAAACATTTAATCCAAAACGAAATTTCATTTTATTTTTCAAAGTAAAAAAAAAAATTAAATTTTTAATCCATATATAACATAAAAATTTTAGAAAAAATTTTTCATTACATAAACTGGAGTTTGTAAAAAAAAATGTAAGCTACGGATTTAAAAATATAAAAATATCATATAATATTGAATATGATAAATCTTCTAATTTAATAATAGGTTTATCATTATATAATATACACACTTATACTTTGTAGGTTTATTGATAATTGTTATATTCTTTCTTTCTTTCTTTTTTTCTTTCTTTCTTATAGTATATAAAATATGTAAGGTTAAATTAAGCATATATATATTCTATCAAAATTTATACAGTTTTAAAAAAGATTGAAGTGAACATATTGTTTATGTTAGTCTTACTTATTCCGCCAGGCAGGCGCGAAACCAAGTTGAGGCAAGGTAAATTTGCCTGTTTTCGTAGTATCATTTTAAGCGAATAAAAATTTACCCTTTAAACACCCCCCACCCCCTCTCCCTCAAAATTTTATTTTATTTAGTATATCAACTATAAAGAAGAATTTGAAAGAAAAATTAGTAAAAAAAAAATGTTAATAAATTTATAAAATAACGATTATAATTCATAATTTTAAAGGGGAAAAAAACATAGTGATAACTCAAAATGATTCTTATTAAAATCTAATATAGCCAAAGGTCTACAATAAGTAGACCTAAAGACATCCGATAAAATTGACTGCGGAAAACCACGCCTAAAAGCGCTTTCATCCCCATAACGAATTCCGGGATATTCCTATGCTGTCAGGTGTTAGCATCTAATGAAAAGACAAAATTTAAATAAATGAATCCTTTGCAGGCACAGAACCCCCTCCTCCTCTAGAATATGGAGCCTATAAATAAAATAAAACTCAAACTAGAGGACTCATAACCTAACAAAAATAATTATAAAAAAGAGAAATTTTGTTGAAATAAACACACTTATTGTAGCGTTACAAGTTACATCCTTTAAAAAGTAATAAAGATAGCTAGTTACAGATACATCCCAAAAGTAACTAGCTATTTTTCAAATTAATTTATAAATAATTTATATTCATTTTTAATAAAAAAATTTTTTTATTGTTATATAAAATATCTTGCGATTTACAAATTTTAATCAGAAGAATTTAAATGAAAATACAATTTACGAAAAGATATGATGGCACTGAAAGAAAAATTACAATTTAATATCTATTTGCACCTAAAAAAGGTATATTTTTATAAAAAAAAAAAAATTTCTATAAATTTTGAATTATAGTCTTTATTTTAAAAAGTTATTAACTGTTGTGTTGTTATACTAATTTTTCTTTCAAATTGTTTTTAATAGTGATTATATTGTATACATTTTTGTGAAAGAGAGGGTTGGGGTGTAGGGGAAATTTTTTTATTAACTTAAAATAGTATTTACGAGAATATGGAAATTTGCGAGGCCCCCAACCTTGATTATACCTTGGCAATAAATAACACAAATTCATTCTGCTTAAAAATTTAGGATTAATAATAGATTAACAGTAAAACTATTTTAAAAATTTCTGTCAAGGGCATGTTCGTCTATCTCTAAAATAAACTTCCCTTGACCTGAACAAACGTTCTGCAGGAGCGCCTGATGTAAACTATACACTATTTTTAATAAAATAGTATTCTTAAATTTGTGTTATCATATATAAAGATCATGAATGAGTTCAATCGTTACATTCCAAAAATTGAGTTATTTTTTCGTAAAGTAAAAACATTATTCGTGTCACATTTACCCCCCCCCCCCCACTCTCCTTAAAACTATTTTTTTATCATTTATTATAAATTTATAAGGAAGGGATGGGTGGGGGTGATGGGTAATTATATTTTAAAATATATAATTACTAAAATTATTAGGCCATATCCTATCTAATATAAATGGCGCCATAAACGAATTCTGTTATTTTTTTATTATTTTCCTAAAAATTTTATTATTTTAAATAGGCAAATAAAAAAATATTAGTTATCATATTTCAAGTAATAAAATATAAAATATCATTTAAAAATTTACATATATAATCGGAAAATAAAAATTCAAAAATAAAATTAATTTAGAATTACCCATTTATAAGGTCTAAGATAGATGGGTAAAATGTAGTGCTGTCAAAGTAAATGAGTTATATAATGTAACTTGATAACTTTTTTAAGAATGTAGTGTGCAAGTGCAAGTGTAACTGTAAATTATTTTTAAAAGTAACTTTTAGCAAGAGTAGTAATATACTTATAAAATTGGAGAAAAAAAAAATACAAATCCATTTGATTAACCTAGGAAAAAAAATATTCATTATTTTCACTCCATATTTTAAGAGATCACTGATATTTCAGATTTATAATAAGATTATTGGTTCTCATGACCAGAATTTGGAGAAGACAATTTGACTAGTCTAGAAAAAAAGGCCATTTATTATTTAGCCTCGTATTATAGAAACTGTTATCTTAGTTTTAAGAGAATTCAATCATCTCAAACTTTCAATGTTAGCTAATAAATTTAGCATATATCACACCCATTGAACGTGTATTTTCCATAGCTGGGCTCACTTTGAACTCTATCAATACTCTTCTAATCTTTAATAAATAAGTGCTATACATAATAATTGAAATCGAATAAAATCATTAAAAATTGTATATCCAATAAATCAGATGCATAGGTACCAATTGCACGGCCCAGTCTGGGTGATTTTTTTTTTAAATATTCGGCCCGACCAAGATTTTTTAAAATACATTATATTTATTTGTAATTTATAGCAAATAATGACGATTTAAAATATTTGGTTTTAAAATATATGGCAGGGCCCGGTCCGGAATAATTTTCATGTTGGTGTGTAATATGATGACATAAAAAGCAACGCTACCGCTGATACGACTGTAGACGTACAAATCTAATAATACCTAATTTCCTCTAGGATGATTTAACACGAATATTATAATAATAAATGTTAAGTGAAAACTAAATAAAGGGTTTAAAATAAAATATTTCACTTTTTATTGTGAATACAAATTTATTATTAAATTCTCAAACCATATCAAAACGATATTCCCCAATTCGACGAAATGTTAAAAT